AAGTCAAGTATGTTTGGAATGAGTTTCTCTTTCTCTCTAAATGCAAAATATTGCTGCAGGACCGGCCTGAGTTAACTCGTAATCTAATGATAGAGACTGAAGTATTTATGAAAGTCGATAACTTCCCTCATTTTGGAATTCTCAGCAATCCGAATAGGTAGGGATCAGATAAAATCTTGATCCCGTTTTAGAAAGCTCTATAGGCTGTTGTAGAATTACATTTTTCAAAGAAAAATTTTCTTCAAGAAGCAATCACTTACACATATAATCAGAATGCATGCAAGAGCCCTTCAAGATTAGGATACAACTACAATACTGTTCTTCATACGTAGCATCTCATCGATCTGCTACCCAGTGTTCATAGAAAAAGCGCGTAATTTATCCAGGTGTGGTGTACGCTACTTATGCGGACAGACTTAAATAGTATGTAACAGGAATTGGTATTAGAATATTTACCAGCGGAATAGCAATCAAAATAAAAAAGGAACAGAAGAATGATAAGTTTTGTAAAGGACAATCCAAGGAAGATATGCAAATGATGTACTTAATGTATGATTTTGATATTGTATAAAGCTACTGTGTGATTTTGAAAAATGCACTTAGTTGGAATAACTTACCGGAGTTTCCGTTCACTGATTACATCGTGATAGTGTTTCCAAAAAAATAAGGTATGAAATCAAATGAACGAATTTCCACGCAGTATGTATTTCAATCTAACGACAACAGAATCTCATGAAAACTTCTACATCGGTTAGGTTATATATGATTTACTATATAATTTATTTTGTATTACCTCTTCTTCCCTTCTCAAAAACAATTTTTCAATTGGCTAAAAATAGTATAAACTTTACCAATATCACTATACTTATCACTCGAAGACGTTGTTAAAGTATAGTTACATCACTTTAAATATACTATTTCAATAAAAAACAATATCTATTATGAAAATGACACACTGAATACTACATTATATTCAAAAATAAGCGGGGTTTACAATTTACTCGGGTATTTTTTTGTTATTTATTAACCATATTTAAATGTTAAAAGAGATGATTTATTTTTTTCCCATGAACAACAGCTTTCTTTTCAAGACTATTAAGATTTAGAAAAAACCCACAAGTACAATAATAATAATGTCTGGGAAATGATGAAATTAGCAAAGGTAAAATAAGTTGTATGTTATTAATTAAAAGAAAACACATGTTAGCAAATACCAACCTCAAATTGAAATATGACAAATGTGTAATTCTTGTTTTTTTTAAAAAAAAACGTTCTTGTATATAGATTTTATAATAAACGTCAATAAAGGAAATGGGGATAAGAAAATCGTTCTTTGAGAGGGAAAAAGAAACAACGTGAAGGATTTTAAAAACTTTTCGTCAAAAATCTGTAAATTGCTTTGTATAACAGTGATAATAAGTATTTCTAGTCAATAAAACAAATGACAAGAAGTGGAAGATAATATTTCACATATAACATACAGTACATTATTCCCTTATTTTGTACAGTGAAAATACTATTTTACGATTTGTTCTAGACGAATAAATTGGAAAGCACGGTGAGACTATAATTTATGGATGGACCAATCAGGTATAGAAAAACGGGTCTCTGATTTTGGCGCGAAATTCACTCATCCATTTGGTCAAATAGAGTTTTGGCATTATGGTTGACGTTAGTTCATGATGAAAACCCTAAATCTAATTTATAACCTTAATCATCAACTGTACATCATAATTTTAATCCCCCACACTGGTTTATATTCCCCATTTGCTCATAGTTACTAGGTGGACACTCTGAAGGTCACTCTAGCGTCACTCAATGGTCATCAATAAATTATAGTCTCACCATGGTATACAACAGCCTGTTGTAGCTTTTACCAACACTATCCGTGTGAAATGAATAAAATTCAGATAAATGTTAATATTTGTTAAACACACAAGAGAAAATCTATTTGTTATAATATAATCAGTGAGTTGTATGTATATTTTAAATGAAGCCATATACATATGGACATTATTTATGTAGCCAGCCTTTTCTTTGTTCATTCGAAAATGTGCAAATATAGGATTGTCCTAAATTCTTAATGTTAAGTTTATTACTAAGTTACTTAAATTATTATAATTACAGATTGAGTGTGTATTTCCTTTCATTTACATCCTTGCCATAGCTCAATACTAAAATATAAGTTTTAATGTTTGAATATAACATGAATATTAAAAAGTAAATAGTGGTGAACAATCAGGCAAATACATCATCATACTTTAGAATATAACACTTCATGATTGTACAAAGAACAAAGAAGAACGATAAGAAGCATTTATTCATAAGTATTGTGTTGATACTGATTGTCAAATCCATAGGAAGACACATATCAAAGTTATTTACAGAATTCTTTAGAATTTTCCCCATGATTTTAGAGCACGTCTAAATATTTTCGCACAGCTTCTTGATCTGCTTTTTTACTTGTCAATTTTTATTTGGTTTTTAATTTAGTTCTTTTTATAATCAATTTTATTTACCTGACATCCTTTACATATTCAGTTTAAGATTTTCTCACTATTATTTGATGTTAATGCTCAAATTTCTTAATCCTAAAGTTACTACGAAAATTTCTTAATACCTATTTTTATCCATACGTAACCGATTGTGTTAGCTACCTGATTGTATCATTTATTGTTTTGTTTTTGTATCCAACTATAATTTTTCAAAGATAATGTGAAATGAGGAAACATATAATTAACTGATACATCACTATTTACTTGGTATTGATTTGATATTCAAACAGGAAAATTCTGTAATAAAAGTATAATGCCATAGCCAGGATTTAATAGGAAATTTAAATGTTTAGAAGGGGATATTTGATTTACTTTTTATAATCATCCCAACTTATAGAATACACTCACTGAGATCATTTATATATCTTAACAATCAAACAAAAGAAAATACTATAATAATTAATAAATGAGGAAAATTTCCTTTTAAAACATAAAGTATCATAAATAGATTCATAACATCTGAACTTTATATTAAAATATTAAGTCAACAAGTGAATTATTGAATTATCCTTATTTAGTAATATATATAAACAAATATCATGACTAAATAGATTAATAATTGAGTACTGACCAATCCTATGTTTTTCTAGTCTTTTACTGTTATTCAAACTGTATCGACTAAAGACCATACTGCAAACTGACTGATCAATTTCAATAAGCACTAAAATCCACACAAGGTTACATATATTGTTTGCTACTTAGTAATCAATTAATGTTTATATCTTAGTCTTACGGGAGGTTAAGCGATAACCCGGACAGCTCAGTGGTAACATCTCAATTTGCGAAGCTGGGTGATACAGATCTGAACCCTAAAAGACTATTAATTCCCTCAAGATTTCAAGCGAACCTTGTTGATGAGTCCCAAATAACATATAAACTAGGGAAATCAAAATACTGACCTCCTTGAATCAAATGTCATAGCCATGTGCATCACATCAATCAAGTTGAATAATCCACAACTATGAGACAAGACTAATTTCGTTGATAAAATGCACAAAAACAACGTAAAACACTTACATATATTGGGTATACATAAGAACGTAGTAACATTTTTATAATTAGCCGGTTATAAGAATTTTCAGTTCTGAAACAAACAAACTAGATGCCATTACACGCCAGAAACCCTACGAAGATGTGTATGATCCATTATATGGAATCTCTCGATATATATATATATATATATATAAATATATATATATATATCCTTAAAAGTTATATTTTAGGACGACACTGAACTATGTGATCCTGGGTATATAATTTTCCTAAATGTAGTACACGTTATTGTAAGCAGTGTAACGTCCATAAAAATAGTGAAGATAAAAGACAGGGTACTCCATAAATTATTGATAAGAGTTATCTAAAATGATCGAATCACGTATTGAGTAATTTTGCTACTCATATTTTTGTTGTCAGTAATGAAGTTATTAGGCTACAAAAAATTACAGCTAGGCTGGAAATATCTTAAAAGGAACCGAATATTATGTCATCGATCCTAACGAAGTAAAAATGGCAGATACAAAGTGCTAATGCTCACGCCGATATTCTTAAGATTGAGACAGTGAACTGCGTGGCTTATAATCCTTGGTAGACAGAGATTTGCATTTGCATGCAGGTTTGTAAAATTACATCAACTTTAATTAATGAATAACTACGTTAGCTGTACAACTGTGATGCTTTACAAGGAACCAGTGTATGACTTCGGCTATTATCATCCAATAATCCCTGAATCTTGAAAACAACACCAGTTGATATTCGGCCAAGGGGTTTTTGACATGGAATACAATAATTTCGGGAAAATCAAATTATTCTCACAACGTAATAATCGTCATGAAAAAAGGGAAGCGTTAGAAACCCATCATTTTAAAACTGAATTCTATGTGGAGTACACACACATACAAGCAATTATTCTTCTATGGCCCTAGCACTTAATTTTCATTATCGGTCATTTGATTTCAATACATCGTTCGTATACTTTTAATCTTCCTACTTTTTATTTTGATTATTAGTTATGATCACCTTTAGGTTTGTGAATTATCCTTCTCATATTTGGTTTTATCCTATTATCAATGTCCAGTAACATGACGCTCATAATCAGCTTCAGTGCCTAAATAATATCTATTCCCTATCATCCTATGAATCCTGGTTTCACTGTTACTCTATATTTTTCATCCCACTACCTAATGTATTCTTAAGGAGCTACATTACCCTTATTTAGCTTCTTGGTGTATTTAATATAGAATCGCTTTATTTGCATGACATCAGTTTCGTGTCTACCTGTGTTTATACAAACATGAACTGACATACATTCTAGACAGATCTTACGATGATGATGACTGACTGCGATTTCAAAAATATCAACATAAACTATTTCAAAGTGGATGTTTCTGTAATTTTCTAAACAGTATAATTAATTGTTTAGTACACAAAAACATACAACAGACTTACTATTAATGATCACTACACATATAATCGTTATAAGGAAAAATGTTCCGGGAACTAAAATAAATAAACAAGTAAATAAAAAAATATGAAAATATTACATTACTGGATGACGTAACAAAAAGATAAAATAACTGATCAGAAAATTGACGTCATTGAATCTTGAACTCATATAACAAGATTTCATTAGTTACTTTAGCGAATTCATTGAAATATAATTTGAAACTTAATAATAGGTAAACGGAGCGACTTTCAAACTGTATGATATATATTTCAGCCTTAGTTATTTAATCGATCAAACGGGAAAATTCTGTAAAATAAGTATAATGCCATAGCCAGGATTACACAGATTTATCGTTTATAACTAAGTATCCACCTAGCTATGTATACACATCTTCGATACGTGTACTACATAAATCCATATACAGTATGACACATATCTTCTTTATTTTAAGTACACTGTTACTTTTAATCACACAAAGTATTTCATTCCTATGAAGTAAATTGATTTGTAACAAAGTTTATTCGATTGTTTCAGGTCATATAAACACTTACATTTGAATGAACAACCAAACTTTGTGATAGCTTATACAACAGATAAAACAGACAAATAACTTCGAAATTAAGACGTATCTTTTCTAATACAATAAACTATTCTAACAGGTTAAACAATGTTAAACTATTACTGCAAGATTGATTTGTATATGATTGCGTATGACACCCATTTTGTTTGATTTAAACAGAATCATCACTATTTTTCAAATAAAGTTCTGAAGTACAAAGTATTTGTTACGTATACTACATTTTTTGTCTTCATGATATATCATAAAAACTTGTGAAATGATCTTGAAAAGTGCAAATCCATTGGCTATTACTTAAACTTTGTTTCCAGTAACTAAATCTACCAAAGCATCGAGGTCCTATTATTCTCTTATTATTTATGTATCTGGAACAAATATGAATAGACTGATGATTAGTCCTGTAATATTAACTAGTCGCAACAGCCTTATTCGAAGTTTCATATATGTAATGAACCAATAGTATGACTATTCAGTAAAAACAGCTTTAGTGAAACGACTTACAGATGATTTAGTAACCCTGAAATACCGGTAAATAGATTCATACACCATGTACAACAATTAAAGTTTGTGGTGATTATACAACTATATCGATTTTATGACTCAAATTTGTGTTGCCAAAAAAGAGAAGCTCATTTTTGAAAATTTTATTTATCGTTCGTAGGTACAAAAATTAATCTACCAACCGATGTTAGAATTAGTTTGGTCAATAGTCCTATTTGTTTACAAATTTATTTAAACCTCAATTGGAAAATCTTACTGGGAAACAATTGTAAGGAAGTGTGGTTAAGTCTTTGCTTTTAGGCTATATGGCATTTTGATGATAACAAAAACATGTTTTCAGTGAAACTTAGAGCAGAAAAAGTTAAGAAAACAACTGTAAATGCTTCATCTGCTGAAACTTTTATTATAATATAGAACACCTTAATGATTACCGCCAAATATCTATGATTGATATAAGAACAACCTAATATTTGCTAACAGTTAAACAGAATCTGTAAACTAACTCAGTAAAAAGAAGACACACTTTCAAGCAGTCGAATAATTAGTTTCAGATAATAGTTACCTACATAAACTTATGACAATTAAAAACCAAATGTGACTGAAGTTAATCTACTTTATCTCATTATAATCAAACATGATAAAACCATTTTCATTTGCCTACAAAAATTTATAAAGAGTACATTTCGAAGTATTCCATCAATGTATTAAGTACGATTAAAAAGTCACTAGCACGTGGTCAGATGACAAATTTGTTTCCCAGATACTTTTGATTATATGGCATGTTCGAGTTGTTGGATGAGTAAGTAAATGTGATCAGCAATTGTTAAATGATACCAAAACGCAAAATAAAAAAGGTTAAGATTATTGAATGAAACACTTACTGTTCGAAGTATCAATTAAGGCCAAAATAATAGTTAGTACAAGGACAATAATCTCGACGATCATACATCCCAAAAATCGAAATCGTGAAGTTGAGGTCCTATGTAAAGAAACTAAATGAGTATTATATGTCACTTTTAAATAGTTAGTAACTAATCACATTATTTATTTACGTAACTTGTGGCTTTTTCAAAATCTCTGTTAAAAATTTTTAAGGTTGAAATAAAGTATGATTGAATAACTCTGATGTCATTAACTAGAAAATCTTAGAAGTCACAAAATCTGTTCAAAAACGTTTTGATGCATTGCAGTGGATTTAAGCTTGTTACAAGGACATTCATTTTAGATTCGATTTACATTAAAAAAGGTACTGCCATAAATTTAGTTGACTCAAGCTATCTAGCCTCAAAACGTAAACCGCTTTCAACTTAAAACGTAACCTGAATACAAAATTTATCTAAAAACTTCACCTCGATCTAAAACTTTTCGTTATCACACTTTTAAATATCAAAGGGTTAGGAAAAAAAGGGAAGGGGTTTTATTCCAATAACCTCGTAAAAATAGACCAACAAATTATTAGCCGACCAGTCAGTTGGCTATGAACAACTTAGTAATGATCTAGAACAAGTAAATATATAAAGCAAGCGATTTTATCCTCAATTTATTTTTAAGTCGATTTTAAATAAATGAAAGATTGAAATTGAGTATAAGCGAACTCCCAGAAAGTAAATTTGTTTATTATAAGTTTATGAAAAGGAATACGGATAAAGATAAGAGACATACATTGTTTGTGACTGTTCCTATACACTTATATGGATCATCTTAACTATGTGTAAAAACATAAAACACAACCCGTATTTCGGGTTTTTTGAGAAATCCTTATATAAATACAGTTGATATGAGATATTGAACATGACAAGCTAGAGTGGCACTTGTCATTCGGTAAAGTATAAATAACTTTCACAAATAAATTATGCACTACTATATGCAGAAAAGCAATAAGCTTGTTCTTCTCTCCTTTTTAATAAGCGCTTGTAAAGCGGACGACTAATGAACATATATTGTTTCTTGGTTTATAACATTTCACCGGAAACAAACAAAATTATGAGTCAAGTAATTTCACTTACGTAGAATCACTTTGATAAAATGTATTCCATGCAGCAAAACATAAACTAGGGAACTGTGCAGCAAAACCAAAATAGCTAAGAAGATTGACACGATAGTCCGCATTGTAGCTCGTTGTTGTATTTAACTTGTAATCAAAATACTAGTAAATATTATTGATTACTAAACATACCATACCTCATAGCCATTAATGAACACGTTCCATGGTATCAGAAATCCAATACCGTGCAAAAACAGGAAAATGTAAGCCAAATTGTACCTAAAAGTAAAAAGAAACCGTAGCATTTTACCTATCAACAGGTGGTGACCGAACTTCTTTCTCCATATTTGTTCAGGCTCCAGAGTTTCCAAATCTATACATCAAAGTGTTTAGCATAAAAAGAGAAAGTTACTGATGAAAATTCCTCGAAGGAAAAAATCAAACAATAAACCGACGGTCTGCGAAATATGGTAATATATTAAATGAACTGTGAAATGTGAAACAGCTCAAATTTATCACTGGAAATCTTTCAACAAAATACTACGAAAAAACATATCACCTCACTCAATTTCTTAAATAGTAAAATCTCATTAAATATAATAATCACTAGAAACGAGGATAAATTAATCTAAATCCTCGTACGAATTACGTGCGGCACTGATGAACGACGAATAACTTCTCAGAAGTTAAAAACTCTATAAATCATGTTATAGAAATCAAGGATTCATCTTAACTTGCATGATTTAAAAACTTTGAATGAAGACGTTTATTACATTTATAAAGAGACTGGGTAACCGACAAAACTGAAAGATAAAGTCGAACTCAACAAGACTGTTCAACAAACACGCGTACTAATTTTAAAGAGCTACAACCAGGTTTGTTATAGTCTGCCGCATTTGTTAAAGTATCTTTAAAACTGCTGATAATATAACAAAATTCCGTTTACATAACCAAATTCGAAAAAAATGCGGGCAATTATGTAAGCTATCCAATATATTCGTCCCTTGCTTCTAATTCAAAAACCAGAACTTCTTATGACTCGAGCAATAACAGAGCTTACAGATAATTTAGTTTAAGACAACCATAAAATTGACACAATTTAAAGATTGCAAAACACAAAATAGTAGACGGTCGGGATATGAGGCATTTGACAGTACAGTGTGAGAAAACCTCGAACAATTGAAACATGTTAAGCAATATTGGATCCATCCAGATTTATGGTTCTCACTCGTTACAAAAGACGGGATAGGTTCGGTAATAAACAATGAGAAATTACTTGAAAAGAAACTAAAGTCGCATGCCACTTCAGACGTCATAGAAATGAATTCTGAAAGACAAGACATTTATCAGAAAAGATATTGTATTGTCTTAGAACAAATCACAAAAAGTATCAGTAAAATATTAAAGAAAATCATACTCAAAGTTACTCGAAAATTTAATATTTTGCTGTTTGTGAAGGTCACGGTACAATAGCCTTGATGCATAATATCAAACCTTATTATTTGTCAAGTGAATATAAGATGCTTATTGTTTCTTAAGATATGCAAGCTGGTATTAAAGGAGCGTTATTGATCACAAAGAAGTATTATTTTTGTTTTAAATAAGCTTTAAGTTCGTTTTTGTTCACTAAGCATTTTCGGTAAATGGCCTTTGTTAGCTCTTTCCTAGTAGACTTTAAAAAGTGTCTAGCCATTCTATTGATCATTCATTTAAAGATCAGTGCACCACTTTTCTTCTTAGCAGGTTACAAATGTTGGTTTCTTCGTGGAAACAAATTCTATTGCAACCGAGCAAAAAATTTTAAGCATTATTGAGCATGGTAAATCACATTATACACAAATTAAGTTGGTGGCCATACTCTTTACATTTTATGAGATTCCTAATTCGGGGTAAGTTTCTAAATAGAATCTTATTGGTTTTGATCTCAATTAGGCTGTCTATTACAGTGGGATGACTTGCAAACAACGTGTTTGTGAATGCGGACCTCGTTTTGAACAGGAAAAGATTTCGAATGGTTGAGCCTGTTGGGATCCCTAATATGGTGGACGATTGGTTTATCAGACATTTATTTCCAGCTGGCACCTTCTCAACCTAACACTGATAGTGGTTACGAAAATTCTAGGCAATCGAGTTTTACAGTTGTATCATCAGAACGTATTTACTTCTGACTGTGTAGTCCACTTTAGAAACGATCTAGGCAAGGGTAGTTTTTCAATGCTTGTAAGAGTTTAAATAAATGTGTCGCTCACAGTGTTATAAACCGTAGCTTCAATTACAGGACGTTTTCTTTTTGAGTTGGTCAACATCAGACAGTCTTTCTTTCCTAAATATCACTAGATTCAGTTGCTGATAGCAGCTTTTTATTTGGAAGATGTGACGTGTTTTAGATCAAATATCCCGGTTTAATCTTTCATTTTGCGGTTGATCTGACGAAAAGGTATTGATTTATGTTACTCATATGTCGTTGTTCCAATTCCTTGTTCTCATTGTTAATTAAGGTTGAGAGTCCAGTGAAATGAGTTTCTCACTTTCCTGAAGATATTTGTTGAACAACGTTTTGTTTTTAGCAAAGTTACTGATTCTTCGAAACGTTTCCGGAATTCTTAAGGTCAGATTTCTACAAAGATCGACCCTTGAGGAGGTTGGACACTAAATATGTACCCCAGGTATTACATTTACAATGACCTCTGAGGTTGCAGCGCATCACACCTGAGTCTTTATATTATTCACTATCAACTATATATATGACTGTACCGAGTATGCTTTCAGGTCTCAAACCAACGAGATTAATTGTATGGTATGGCTTTCGGTTATAGTTGCGCAAGGTTAGTGATTAAATCATTCCAGTGAAACTCAGGATTATCAAGGATTGTCGAGAGTAGGGAACAAGTATAAAATTATATAGTGACTAGTGGCCGGCGAGAAGTAGGTTCTAAGTACAATTATCGCCAATTACGATGTTCTCAGCTGACAGTGTTATCACTACCATATCTAGAAGCTCTAATCACATTTAACTGTAGCAAAAATAGCTAGTATGACTTTAATCTACTAATTTATCGGTTACAGTTCCTTGTTTTCACCTACTTTGAACTTAGAATCCACGAACAGAATTCAGGTAGCTGATGTATTTCTTCGATTGACCGATCTTCGTTTATACTGTCTCCTTTTCCTATACCTCTCGGTATAACTAATGTCCATAAACTCTGATTTCTGTGATCACCATTTTAAAGAGAAGACATATCTAGAAACTAGTTTAACGTGAGTTAACTTAACTAGTAAGGTATTTACGCACAGACAAAAAACACAAGCAAGTTTCCGATTCTCTGTTTCTCCGTTATTAGCCGATACTATTAAATTTATGAAATTTTAATGTTTTTTTCACACCTCATAAGGCTAACTACAGCACTTCCTTAAAAGCAGATATTATTGATTATTTGTAAAGCACTTATGACTTGGACCACGTTGTCGGCTGTGATTTCAAGTTGATGACGACGAAATCTGTTTACTCTTGCTATTAGTCACATTTATTCCATTTCGTTTTGTTTATGCAACAAATTATAGTATCAGTGGCATCTCTGTGAGTTTGATCTCTCATTATTTACTGAAATTGTTGGAGGCTCAAAGGTGTTAGGTACAGAAAACACCGATTTTATTGCGCCTGCAAGGTGGGTTTTGAATCTGGAATCTCCCTTACCTAACTGTCTATATTATCAGATTAATAGATCTACTACAACAGTTCAGACTAATAGTGAGGTGACTGTCTAAGTAATTCGATTTTGCTTCGGAGTGAGATCACCATGTATATTGACTTGCCATATCGTGTAAGACAGTAGAATGTTTAGCCAGAACGTTCGAACAATAAGTGTAGGTCCAAAATAGAATGACATATTCACAATGAAAAGGATATATTTACAGAGTGAATGTGTCTCCAGATCTGAGCCATACTCAACAGCTATCCCCACGTTGGTTTTGATAAACCATTACTACTTTCCCTCCATCAGTGAAGATTCAATGTAAAGATGTCATGGATATAAACTACTTGACAACACAGTTACCTTGGACAATATTTATATGAGGATCATAAAGCCAGTTGAACCGAAATTCAGGAGTGAAGAGATGAAAGGATATTTATGTAATGGTCGATTCGTCTAGGTTTATGTCACCTGAGTTGAATAGCTTTCGAAAAAGACAAGTAGCACAGCGTATCCAAAGATAATTTGGTGAAAATCTTCGTCCGCTCGCCTCCAGCTAAATGTGTATCCAGTAAGAAAACATAAGGTAAGCACCTAGGTTGAAGAATTACAGAACGATTTATCAAGGAGGTTTATATATCATTACAGTCTATATATCACTGTACTCAGATTAAAGGATGATTTTCGGTGATCGTTCAGTGTCATTTCAATATCAGTACAATAGAATCCAGATAAGGTGAAAACAAAAGATCGATAAAAATTTAGAAGTATGTGATCATAATCACTGATGACTAATTACACCATGAGGACATATGCAATAAGAAACGTTTAGATTAACCTGGTTTTTGTACGCCCCTCAAAAGCAAGTGTGATCAATGATCACTTGATAGTCCAAACGACGGATTAAAAACAACATCTTTCGCACGAGGGAGTGTGATTTATGGATTATTTAGATGCGTGATATTTAATTATGGGTAAAAATGGTTCTTTGCATTGTGATCCACCATCACAGTGCACGATTTTTAAATGTTTCCGCCACAACACACAAACATTAGTTATAGTTGTAAAATTTTTCTCACTTCATTGCCAGCATAAATTTAATATTATACTGTCAATAATAGTGAATATATTAATGTAATACAGATTAGATATCGAATCACCTTTAGTTGATTGGCTCACTTCATATCTAAAAAATCAACATTTTCAGGTCAGGCTTAAATTTGCTTTTTCAGGCTACGAAATATCTTTGTGGGGGTCCCTAAGGGTTCAGTGCCAGGACCTCTTCTTTTCTTGATATAAATAAACGATCTTCCACAACAGGTATCGACTGACTTATTATTTTTTGTGGTGATGAGAAACTTTGGAGTGTGATACGAGACCAAGAGGATATACTAGCACTTAAGGAAGATCTGGCTCGTCTTCAAAGTTGAGCAGATGACAACGGACTTACCCCTAACAATTCAAAATGTAAGGTAATCCATCTGAGACATGTTGCAGACTACAGTTACAAATTAGGCGACTCCCCTCTAGATACATCCCAAACTGAATATGATTTAGGAGTTCTGGTACCCTACGATTTGAAGTCTAACACTAACTGTGACAATAAGCCTTTCGAGCAAACGTTGCACTGGTGACATTGAAGCGCATTTTCAGCCAGTTTCACGGAAGAACTTTTCACATAATCTCTAAAAGTTTCATTTGTCCCTATTTAGAGTACGGAAACATGGTATTTCCTCTCTCAGTCCAAGAGAAAGAGGACACTCTTTAACGTATCCAACGGCAAGCCACGAAATCAGTGCGAGGAATCAAATTCAAACCCTATGAAGAGCGCCTTCAATCACTAAACCTTTGTTCTTTAGAGCACAGGCGTCTTAGAGGTGACCTTCCAGTGGCTTGCAGCATCTATAACACATCTGGACATACCTTTAATCACCTACATAAATTCAGCTCCAAGATAGACCTAATAGGTAATACCCAGAAACTGGAGACATAGTCCGCAACACAGACGGTAAACACAACTTCTACTCCTCAAGAGTAGTCAAATGCTGTAATTCGTTGCCGGCTGAGCTAGTCCAAGCTAATTTCCATGAGTCCTTTAAGAGGAAACGCGACATATTCCTAAGGAATAAGGGTAGGATCTTACTATGATTTACCAATTTCTTTTTCCTCTTTTATCGTTACTATATCAAGGTTCCTGCCTGGAGGCATTGGTGAACCACAACTTTTGGACACGGCAGCCCATTGAGAGAAAGCTTCTTCTAATCCGTCCACAACCATTTGAACCATTAATTTAGTCAGAGAAATTGCTGATTATGTAGGACAATCATTGAAAATATATGATTCAGTGTTTTCGACAACTCTCGTGTGATTTCAAACTCCTAGCTTAGAGTGTCAAAGAGAAAGTGGCCTGTTGTTCGTTACTCAGCCAGATGTGATACGATGTATCTCGCTTTGGCTACAATAATACAACATAATGGATAACCGAAACATCATAAAACGCGATAATAAATTCAAAATAGCAATTGTGTTTAAATGCTCCATGACTGTGATATGCTCTCATATGAGCAATGTTCTCAAACAGTTTTAATCAGTCAACAAGATAGTTGATTTCAAGTTGCTTTTTCAAGTTAGCGTCGTTGTGATATGCTTAAGGTATTACATAATGTTTACAAGCACTATATTGAAGGAAAAAACGTTCTTTTTATTTAAATGGCTTTCATTGAAGGTGTTAGGACAGTTATTTAACCCAAAGTTTTTGTATCCAATTATTGAATGTGACGAAGTAATCAATTGTTTTTCATCATATAATAAAATATTATGGTAGGGAATATGGGAAATCAACCAATCTTTTGTTGATGGACTGTCATCTTTTGAGCTTTACGCGGGTGTTCATCGAATTATTGATTTAAAAGTGCCTTCACAAGGTAAGCTTTTTAGTCTAGGCTGAGTTAATACACTTTTATTATGCTTTTGAAGATTTCATCGTTTTAAAATTATCTGGAGACATCGACAGTTAGCTTTAGTTGCACTTTTGTGAAATTTTAAAGTGATTTTGGCTCAATAACTCAGATTTGTAATATATTGTTGAAGCGACATAGAGTACTCTTTCTGCCTGAGACATAATTTCCGTATTTGAACATTCTGGTACAAATGATTTTTATCCGTAAAAAACAGATTTTACGAAGTTCAAAGTAATAAACAGGTCGATGAGTTTAAGGTCTTTTTGGGCTGAAAACGTGGCTTTACTTATTGAGTTTTTTCAAATTTATTATTCGTTGTATAATGTGCTCAACCAAATCAAACCAAATATTTCAACTTTCATAGATTTGTATAAATTTCAATATCATGCTTTTGCTTGGATTTATTACGTAGAGTAGGCGAATTCAGAAGTTTTGAAGAATGTAGATTACAAGCTACGGATAATGATCATTAATTTAACTTAAGTACTCTAAATGTTTTCATTATTTACGATAACAATCCGAAAACGTACAGTCACCTGGCTGTAAAACGTTTGGGAGGAAACATGCATTCGAGCATTGCTAAGTATGTCATTGACCTAGTATACTTTCCATGCTGTTTCGCGGCAAGTTTTATAAAGACTTAATTAAATAAATACCTAAAAGACGGAAAGAGCATACTTTAATTTTCATCCATACCGAAATACAGGTTGAGTATTCTTTTGAAGGCCGAATAAGAGAATTCTGGGCATAATTCATCAATCGTATAGCTGGAAAGAGTCTTGGCATTATAGCTGATGTTAGTTTGTGATATGAACCCAAACTCTTATTCCCTACGCTAACTCTAAAACCTAACTTCTTATCCTTATTCTTCACACAAATTTATCATAATATTTTAACCATAGGGAGTGATTGAAGTTGCAGAAAATCACTTTGCTATCACCCAAAGGTTGTCAGTAATTTTAATTTTCGTACCATTTTCTATCTGAACCTGAAGTAACTTTGAATGCTTATTTAAACTTTGTGTCGGTGGTTCGAATTTTTGTTTCGTATAACACCTCAAAAATTCATTTTTTATCGCTTGTTTGAAACTTTCCACTGAGGTTATGGATTGCAATCGTTTAGTCTCTTATTGGCATGTGTGCATACTAGGTTGTGCCTCAATATTTTCTGAAGTCACGAACAGCTAAGTGGATAACGCGATGAAGTTTGAAGCAAACGGTATTGGGTTCGAGTCCTGGAGTGAACATTAACCCTGTCATGCAGACACACCCGGCCGATGAACCTCAAGTGGGACGAAACGCGTGTCCTGGATCCCGCCACTAGCTACCATCCATCATTGCTTATAATTTCAGATAATAACAATGAACTGGAACGATGAAGACCTGAAACTATGAATCTTTGTACCATTTCAATGAGGTCTATTCATGTGACTAGTTCCATTTATTAATTTATTTAAGCCGAAACCACAGTAGAAGCAGAATGGTACGAATTCACTACATTTCTTCGTTTTTCATCTGTTTCTTATGATCATAGATGTGCTGAACTGTAATATTGAGGTGCGGTACAGTGTGAATTAGTGAACACTAATAACATGGTTGTGAGGAATGAACATCACATGGTCAGCTGCACTATCGTTTTACTTGCACTACTTGCGTTCCGAATAACCTTGCATTTGCGTCTTAACTTTATGGCGACTTTAAAGATGTGGAATTTCATACATTCTTAATATTAACCTCTATAAATCTGGTGGCATGGCTTTGCTTTTACAGCCTTACAAACATTGTATTCTAATTTGATTGGAAACAATACTTGTTTACTTGTTTAATTAAATGATTCCGCAAAACGTTTGCTCTCCATTAATTGTACAAAGAAATGGTGCTACTAAGTAGAAACCAGTTTTATTTAGTTTATCCAATATTCCACTTGAAGAACAGTAATCAATATATCGTTTGAAATATATTACAAGAAAGTGACGAAATAAACAATAATGAATTTATATTTACGTTTTATTTTTTATTTGGTATAACAGGCTTTTCTAGTTTACTTGATGAACTGACACATTTTTCAGGTGGTCGACAATTGATACTGGATCCAGCTGTACTAGAATCATATTCACATGAATTAATGCAAATGACAAAAGATAGTAAGCAAGTTTTTTATCTGACTTTAAAAAATTCTATTTCTCAAAAAAACTAGCCAAACCTATTTATTGCAAAAGTGAAGTTTTACAAGGTCCTTACATCGTCCAACCCACTGATTTGATATATCCAAATTCTGGATTACAAAATGAGGATAGTTCACAGTCTGTTAATCAATTAAATCTAATTTGGTTAGCATCACATATTGCTTTAATTGAAATGATTTTACGAACTTACTTGTTGAACACAATTACACCAGTGACATTGATTGATGCACTAAGGTATGTATTTTCAACGAACTTCTTAAACTGTTGAAATGCTGTTTTTTTATCATATATAAAGTAGTTACAATTATGAACATGTACTTTTAAAGTGATTTGAATGGTTTTATAACCCTGGATACTGCAGATCAATGAAATATCTCTGAATTATATATGACATTTGGTCATTTATCTTCTTAGAGCGTATAATAATGCAGTCTAATAAGTAAATAACACAATTATTTCTCATTTTTTGATTAAGCGACAGTCCAGTTTTTTATGCAAATGTTTGTTTTTGTGTTTCAAGACTTCATAGTTTTTAACATATGTTGAACATATTTTTTTTTATTTTCTGCTAACGTCGTTTTAGTTGGTAATTCATTTTAAAAATTCCGGTTCTTGTGGTCATATAAGAAAAAGGGAGAATGAATTTTTATACACATAAGTGATTTTTGTGAAGAGAAGTTTCAAGACAACTTAGAAAACTTACTTCGAATGAGACCACTAAATAATCTAAAACCGAATTTCACAAAATCTATGTTTTATCAATAAACAAAGAACCTTTGTACAAATTAACAGTAAGATTTAGTTCTAACAGAATTACCTTTCGCTGACTTTAGTCTCAATATGCTTGTTAACATATTACTATAAAACAACCAATGAGTAGTAAATGTTTATTATCTAGCACTTAAAAGTTAACAGAATTGGATCTACATACGTAAATAAAATATAGATAATTAGTAACTTGAGTTGCTAAATTATTTTTAAGGATTTTCTACTTTAATTTTTGATGGTAAAATTGAAGTGAAAACTGAGCTATGAATTATGAGTAAATAAGTCCCTTTAAAATATGTATATCGTTGTGTTTTTTCCTGATGATGTAAATATCTGTTGTGACTAGAGTGTTATTGAAACAATACATAAAGTTATTCTACACCCAAACATGTACCACTTTTGAGGCGATAAAATTTGTATTGGTAGTGTCATCATCTAAAAAATAGTGAAAACTTCATGAATAAATCTTTATATTTGTAGAATATGATACTACGAAAATGCTATACAACTAATAACCGAATCTGTTCATCTGGCAAGTGTTTACAAAATTGTTAAAGGTTTTAATCTGTAATTGATAAACTAAGTATTAATTGAATATTATTGTCTTATTTTTTATTTTGTCAATGACGATTACATCAGCGATATTACCTTTTAGCCTTAAATATGGAAAAAGTACAATTTCTCAATCTTGTATTTTGTACAAAAGCTGTCAATACTACTCAGGTACTCAGACATGAAAAAGTGCTTAAATGGTTCGTCGTTCATAGTCGATCTTTCAATAAGTCTATTGGATTAGGTTCTCAGAAAGATGTCGTGTTACTTATCTTTTTTAATCCCTCTTATATATATATATATATATATATATATATATTCATAAAGATTGACAACATAAAATAAAACTTGTCCTTTATTTTTTTCATGACTCTCAGTACTAGCACGAATGGAAGAAAATAAAATGTATCCACTAAAAATAAATCTTTTAACTAGGCTAGAGAAGTAAAATGTCAAACTAAATCTAAAGCATCAACATTAATGAATACAACTAGAATAGAGTAATAATTTCCAAAACTTAAAGTTATCAACGTTTGTAAGATAAGGTACTGTAGATCAGTGATGATATTTATAACTAGTTGGAGGGGAGGATGTGGATCGACTTAATTTTTCTATACAGAATCAAATATTTATATGATATCTCTTACAAAATATGAAGCCTTAACATATTACCACTCATATTTGAATTTATGAAGCCTTTTTATTATAACATAAATTCTTGTGAAAATTTTGACTGGTACACATTGATGCAAAGTTATACGTAATCACTAACTCAGTTAATTCTAACTTGATTAGTTATAAATTCGTAATTTCAATGCAAGTAATGATCTAATATTAGCCGATATGTCATGAGGTATGGATTGTTTAATATCTCTTAAGAGAATAATGGAACTCATTAAATATTTTTCCAAGAAAATTTTTCAGTATAAACAAACTATAATGTAAAAGTTAGTTAAATAGTACCTTATGAAGAGACAATAATTTACTAAGGAAATTGTATTAGTTGCTTGCATTGTTGATGAGGAGAATATTTACTGAAATACATCATAATGAAAATGTCTATGTACTTCTTACAAATTAGGAAACTGTTTAATGCATTATATTACTCCACAAAAACGTATTATTCAGTTTAGGTCACCTCACGATTAGACTATATATCTTCTTTCTGTGAATAAGGATAATCCAGTCAAAAGCTTTTCATATGTTTAATCTTTGATGCAAAATATTTCATGGTAATCATAAAAGTCATGGTACTGTGGTATATCATTTTAATCACTCGCTTCCCTTCAGGATTCCAAGTTAGGGCTTGCCTCGTGAGTTGAGAACATCATTTTAATTAAGTAACCATCAAATGGAAGTATGTTTTTAGTAAAGCGTTTGAATACAGATGATACAAAATATTACACGAAAATTACTTATTCTCCGATATTTAGAAAACAAGTTACATATGTAGCTTTAAGATAAATGCACACAGAAATAATCATTTCGTGAATGTTATCTATATCAGTAGGCTACATAACCATAGATGCTATCTCTTGGTTGTTTCGACCAGACTCGTCAGTAACTGTTATTATTGAAATTTCCTCAGTATGAATCAGGGAGTAAAGTGAAGATTCCTAAGAAAACAATTGATTTCCACTATCTAACTTTGTACAGTAATTCACTGTTTAGGTATGATGAGTTCAGAACCAGATATTAATTACTTTAATTACTGTCTGTTATGCAAAACGGTGTATTGGTCTGGAGTTGAAGATATATCGTTATATTACCAAATAAACTTTATGGATAATTCTAAACCTTGAAGCATTTTATTAAATCACTTATAAATGTATAATTTTAATTATATTTATTGTAATTAATGAAATATTTTAGCATTATTACTGGATGTAATTTGAAAGAGCATTCAATAAAAGGACTTCAAGGTGCTGATGGTGCATTATTTTGGTTAGTTACAGTAGCTGCTAGAACAGTTACAATTTTAGGCATAAATGTAAGCAATAATAACTTATATACTAATTATAAATATTTTTACTTAATTTCCCTTGACAATTTTACCGATCGGATTTTATAACTTTTAAATGATGGAATTCAAAATCCAGAATTTTATCTCAACTGATTATTAGTTAATCGTATAATAATAACCAACATGTCATTCGAAAGCTTATGATAAAAAATATAAATATATAACCTCGTTACTCAACAGTTACACAACGAGAACATATTTATGATGACATTTTATAAATAGTTCTCGAAAGTTACCCATAATTTAATATTCTTTGGGTACAACAAGTTTAGTATGACAGCACTTTTATTATACACTATTATAAGCTAAACAATACTAAAACCTAGGCAGAACCAAACAGCCAATTACCCAATTTAGTAGTTGACACAAGTAACTCCAGTTGAGAATACCTTGTTAAATCGTGGACGACTACTACTGAAGAATCCTAGACAGAGATGAAACAGTTATCTGGTGCTCTCTTTTTTTGGATGATTCTACAAATAATATCAATCCACAGCAAAAACTATCTTGAAATTATATTTGGAAATATTAAGAGTATTGTTAGTTATCCATATAGAGTTCCGATCATTTGACAAAGCAGCCTAGTGAACTGTTTCTTCATAGATTATTGAAGAAGCTCTATAACAATCTTAGAAATAGTATTTTACAGGATCTGTTTATAGGTGACCTCTGTAATCTCAGCGATGCAAACGGCAGATTAAAATTGTGTTAACTAATGCCATATATTAAGAACAAACTGTTCGAGAATATTAACTTGTGATGACTAGTTTGCTTAAGTAATCAATTCACCAATTTGTCGTTAAAGACTGAAGTTTTAGAAGCGAGCACTGAATACGCTTAAGGGCAATAAAACCTGGTCATGATCACTTGTAATTGAAAGGTAGCTAAAATGAAGTGATTTATGTACATGACTATCGGCAATTCATATCCAAATAACACATACCTAGATAAACAACCAAATTTATTTCAAATGGTTTGTCGCTAATACTTAAAAGGTTGGTTAATCCATGTGGCCAAAAATGGACTATCGAGGTTACAGGAATGGGGAATCGATAAACAATATTATTCTTTAGTTTTGTCAAAATAGCAATTCCATCACATAACAGAATGACTTAATTTACCAGTAGTTTTCAGTCGCTACGATGCAAGAACATTGTCGTGAATTCACTTGTTACCGTGATTTCAGAATGTCTTACAATAAATATAAAAATATAAATTTATTTGTGTAAAAACGATCTCATGAGATATGTCAAGTTGTTAATGCAAACAGAAGTAGCCAACTCTAATTGTTGACTATAGTTCAAACAAATTATTTTCTCAAATTAGATTCTTTTTTATAACAATATTCTGTTTACATTTTTAGGATTGCACAGAATGGCTGACTCATCATTTGACTGGTAAAGAGAATTTGAAAAAAGAACAATCTGAATCTTCTTGTGATTCGACGTATACAATAAATACAGACTCTTTGAAAGAGTCAGCGGATAAATTCCTCAGAGGATTAGCAATGGCCAATCTTGTTGCATTAACCTTCCATTTCTATTGTCCTGAACTAGCACCAGCTGAAGGTAGTATTTTATTGAATTTGATTGAAAGACAAAATCAATCCATGTTATTTTGCTACGTTTGTTATTCTTGATCTATTCAAATTTATCAACGGAAAATCTTATGAAAACCTTTTGAGTAACTTGATCAGATAACCTTATGTTATAATTCATAATTAACTGAAGATTAGAAAAACAATTCAGTTAGATATTTAAATTAACTATCACTTTTAAATTATTTACATTTATTGATATAATTAGATACATGTGATACAAGGTTTTCATAATTACAAATTATACCTTAATGTTAGTCTGAATATGATAAATAAATGAAGTTGATGTTTCCGATCAATTATTTTAGATTATGTTAACATACTTCTAGTAGATATAGACAATAATTAACTTCAAAGTAAAGAACGAATCTTTAGTTGACTGTAAATGACAAGAAATAATTACAAAAATTCATATATTTGCATACTAGACTAGAAGTATAGACAGTATAATACGAATTGGAAACTATTATGATGATAACCATAAACGAAATAAAATATTCATTCTAAATAGTCTATATGTAGTTAAAATTATCTTTGAATTATGTAATCTACCACAAATCAATTAGACAAGTAAACTCTATCTCTTCATTTTTATTTATTTTTTTTCAGATTTTTTATTTAATTTTCCGTCAACTGGAGAAATGGAACCAGCAGCTTCACATCATAATGCTCGTGCAATTGCTTTAATATGCCAAAAGAATATAGATTTATACAATGTTTTATTTCTGATGCCAGATTCATGTAATGGAAATATAATTCGTTTAAATGATTCAGGTTCAACAACATTGAATACATTAAATTTATTAGGATTTTGTTCACAAGGTTTGGCTAGATCACCAACACATAGACGTTTACAACATGCAGCAATGGCGGGTGAACTTTTTGTTTGGTTTACATCACGTCTACCAAATCGTGAAATAAATTCAATTATACCGTCTACAATAAATTACACAAGGCATATGTATGAAAATACCCAACAGTTTCAAGGTAATATGTCACAATAAGATAATGACTAGACTTGTGGATATTTTAAATTCAAATTTTAAGAGTAAAACGTATTTATCACTTCCAAATGAATGCATACAAGTATTAAATCTTTATCAGTCAAGAAAGTCAAAAAAATTCTAGATTCGGTTGTTAACAAGCATGACTTCGATTAGCTTTGGAGTCAATCGACATCATTTTTATCTTGGATATTTAATATGTTTCAAGATGGTTCAAAGTAGTATTTGCTTGAATTACTAATTAGACAGTTTTATCTAGACTTTTTTTGAATATCAGAGTTGTTAATAATCATTAGTAGCTCGTTAGTGAAGGCTTACATGACCTTGTAAAAAGATTCCAAACCCCATACTACATAATACTCAGTGATAAACTACGAATAAAGATATTTTTCTAAGCCTACTAAGAGATGATAATATATGTACTAGGCATCTATGATCTTACAGTAATTTTTTAAACATACTAATCGTATATGTTGTCCTCTGCGCTAGTCGAATTCTGATAATCAAGGTGTTTCACTGAATACATCTTTGAATAATAAAAATGTTATTCAAGACTTGTTTTTGAATTCTTTTTTACAATTCAGTTGTTTCTTTTTTAACACTAAATTTATGAAATATTTAGACTTGCAAATGAGTTCTAAATTCGTCTAGTAGGAGTATATGAAAATTTGTTTAGAATAATTAGAACTAGATATGAAGTGTCATGCGTCACGATGAGTTTCGTGTTAATTAACAGTAGAATGAAGTTGACACATGCTGTCACATTGAAACTTTTTTAAATAGATACTTCTTTTCTGATAAACGTTAGTACTCACACTGTTATATAAAGGTTATGGCAAAGTAAATAAAGGAAATTTAAAAAGATAGAAATCTGTAAGTTAGCTAGCAACTAAAAGGTCATATTTTCACATGAAGCCTTGCATTTTTAATCGAAATCGAACTTCAAAATGAATATTAAAATAAATGTATCCATTTCTTATTTATCAGTAATCATCCTCAAAACTTATTAAATATATACCAGTGTATTCCTCAAAACTAAACAGAAATCCTACGTAGATATATGATTAGGGCGTGCACTGGTTTTATATTAAACGTAATTTACCAGATAATTTATATCTTGGTGAATCACTTTAGTAATGGGTGGAATTAATATTTGCACAAACGTTGATTATTTCCTTAAATAAATTGGTAAAACTATACTGTTTATTTATTTATTTTGAGAATAAAGAGAAAATAATATCAAGGTATTTTATAGAGATTTGTATTCTCCCACTGTTAATATTATGGATTGTAATTGATCAGTCTCTATTGATAGATGTGCATTCAAAGTCTATCACCTTGATATTTCTTTTTATGCTAGCCCAGTATTGATTGATGCAATAAAGAGTAACTTCTTATCCGTTAAATAAGTTGGTCGCTATCTGAAATCGACAGCTTGGTGTATGGGGCGTCAGTGTTTGGAACGATATATACTGGATTCGAGTCTTTGAATAAAAATTAACAATGAAGTCAGGATATTTCAGGTTGACAAACCTGAAATAGGATGAAACAATTAGTTTAGTCTCACTCATAATTTAAATATATTCAGTAAATCAAAAGTTTCTCAGAGTAAATATTCTTTATGAAGAGGACAGTATTGCATTCTTGCTGACACATTTACTAAGTGTTTTTAAATCATATTACCTTTTTTAATTAAGAGTCAATAATTTTATTCAAAAAGCTTTCTTACAATAAAGTCGATTATATCTAAGTAAAATAAATTAAATCAAGAATGTGTTCATTCTAATCCATCAGTATTTTTTTAACTTCTCAGTACTTTATCATTCTATCACACTGTTACTTTTAAAGCATTCGGATATGAAGAAGAGATATTACAAAATAAAAAATATCTTTGTATAGCTATTTTGTTAAGATTCAACTATTTACATTGGTATCAGAAAGGGTTTTGTGGAGATTGTAGTAATTTCAATAGTTGAGATCATGAACCAATTAAAGCTAGACAGCATGAAAACCCTGGGAGGACTGGACGGCCGTTTCGTCCTATTGTGGGACTTCTCAGCAGTGCTCGTCCCTTACCTCGCCTCGTAAGATTCGAACTCAGGACCTATCATTCTCACGCCTGAGTGCTTAACCACTAGCCTAGCTTCAATTGACTCATGATCTCAACACTTGAAATTACTACAATCTCCACAAAACCACTTCTGATACTAATCAACATATACTCACTAGTGACTGGATTCAAGATGTATATACCGAAGTTTTAGTGAGAAGCAGTGACCGGTGGAGGTCAACCGGTTTTTTGTGAGATAGTAACTCACTGATGACAATGGTGAATGTGTCGCTCAATTTCGTGGATTAGTTGAAGTTAGACATTAACACCATTAAATGCCGGCTCAGTGGTCTAGTGGTTAACCGCTCGCGCGCGAGACTGATGGGTCTCTGCAGTCGAATCCCACAATAGAACGAAACGACTCTTCGGTGCTTCCGGGATTTTCATGGTGGTCCAACTTCGATTGACTCATGATCTCAACTATTAATATTTACATTAGTAATATTTTGTGAGGGTATTTACATATCAAGGTTATTTGTGTATATGAAATTTCATTTTGTTAACAATGGATCATAAAGTCAAAGTGATCAGTTTTTTTGGTTAAATATTCAATAAACTTCAAAATATAAAAGAATGTATGCCACTAGTTACAAAATAAAACAAGCAATAAAGTGAATATTTTTACTCAAAACGTTTAAGATACCAGTATGTGTTTGTGAAATGCTTGTCAACATAGTAAACACTCGATTAGGTATGTTCTAAGCGAAATAAAACGTATGTAATGATCAGTAAAAAATCTTGTTTCTCTATATAAGGTAAACAATTTACTTACATACACATAAGTAATATAATTTGGCGTACTTTAGCAATCGTTTTAATGTTGCCACATAAATAAGTTATTGCTAGGAAGTTACTTTTTAACAGACTATGACATATTTGAATAAAATACTTTCATACATACAATAACATTATTTCATTCGTTATTTGTTATTTAAAATCTATATAAATATTTCAACAAAGAGGGATTCACTGGGTCGAAGTGTAAGACAAGTGATACTGATGATAATCAAATCAATATGATACCATTAGATGAAGTAAATGATGATAGTAATTCAGCTTCTGGTAGAGGAACTTATCGACTTGATGAAACTTTCAATGAACATCAAAGACAAGTGGAACAATCAAAAAAACAAAATCTACAGACAAGTTATTTCATTCGATCAAAAACTATACGTTTAAACAAGAATCTGTCAGATGTTGAAAAATTGAACAGTAAACTTGAAGGGCTTTCAACTAAACAATTAATAAATTCAAAAACTGGTGGTATATATTTTCCTGTTGATTCAACTGATACACCAAAAAATGAAGAGAATGAACAAGGTAATGAAGAAAATGAAGACGAATCACAAAATGCACCGACAAAGTAAGTTATAAACATGATATAGATAGAAATTCAATGCAACTCCTTAAATTGCAATAATACTGACTGACAGTTATTAGTTAACTATTACATTTTACTGGTGTTTAACTTAGGTTCTGACAAACAAAATGAAAAAATGATAATTATATTACTCTTATTGTTCTAATGAATTGTATATTATGTAAGTAGTTGTCTTCTGAAAATCTATATAATTTAAGATTTTAGGTTGTATATTATTGACATTTAAAAACATTTACTTTTCTAAGTTGGATGTTGTGGTGAAGTATTTACACATGGAATATATTTCAAGAATCATTATTGCAATGAAACAGCAGAACAAGAAACAGATATCATATAAGCAAGGCTTTAGACTTGATCTATCCCGGATTAATTGGTATGATACTGGACGTTTTTAGGGTTTTTTGCAGTTATATTTACTCAGTCATGAAAGATAAGAACTAGAGAGCTGAAATTAAGTTTTATTAACATAACTTTCAATAATAGAGGTTAAACAGAGAAAATGAGTTCGTTCATAAGGGTAATGTCACCTGGAAAAATTTAACTTTAAAATAATAGGACTCAAAAATCTAAAAAAATATTACAATTTATGATGGTGAAAAGACAGATTATTTTACAAAACAAAATGATATGATTAATTGGTTTCAGTCATTAAAATTGTACTAGGTACATATCCTTTAATCATCTTAAAATGGTTCTTAATTACATTTCTGTACCTTGTAACCCTTAAATACCATCTCTGTAAACGTCTTACGGAACGAGCTATTTACCTACTAACACACATTCTAACCGCATAAATGTTCATTTAATTGTTTGATTCTAGAGTTATTTAACTATCTTATGGCCAAATTTATCATCATAGTTACTTGGTTATAAAGCCGAGACTCGTTTGATTAAAAGTTTGCTGTGTAAATTAAGATTAGCTGAATGGGTTTAGTTAACTACTTAGAATAAAAAAATCATATGAGCGAACTACTCAATCATCGAGACAAGTTCAGTTAGCTTTGTGATACAGAAAATTTCCACTCTTTAAAATGATTTATAATCTCAGAAGTTTATGAATTTGTGTAAAGTTGAGCTTAAATGCATTAAGATGTAAAAATCTGTATACCTTAGACTTCTGGATTATGAAACTGAGAAATATATAAAGTGTTAAACAGTCATACATGATCCTGTCCAGTACTGACATATAGATGAATGGATCAACAGTGATGTTAATATTTCCATGTTTATATAAATTTAAATCAACAAGTTCACAAATAAAGAGTACACTGATATTGTCAGAATAACTAATCAGTTTTTTTATTTTAACAGCTTAGTTTATTCGAAGGTCATTACCATTAAAAAAACTAAGTTAGACTTTTGAAGAAGAATAATAATTTATGGATTCGAGCTAAGTTCAAGATCCTAATGTATTTTTTTGAAAACAATTTAACTTATCATTGTACTAAATTTTCTCTCTATATGAAACAGAAGTATATTTTTTATCAGCGGTGTTGTAAATATGGCTAATTAGGTCGTCAAGAAATTCCTGTCTAATATTCATTATATATACTAATAGAAATCTATAAAACGAACTATCCCTGGTAATTTTTTGTCATTAAATGATACATCCTGTTACAAAGAGAGATTCCAAGTTCTTTGAGGTACTGTATGGTGATAATCTGTGTGTTGTTCACTAATAATAAATAAAAATGGAAATAATGATATGTTTTGCAGTCTTTGGTATTTTGCGAAATGATAGATGTGCGAATGTTTTTATGAATGGGAAAATGAATTTACGGTATATGATCTCTCTGAGTGAATAAATAACAATCCATCGAATCAAGGTGGGTCCAAGAATGCACACTGCTGAGGAGTCCCACAATGGAACGAAACGGCCGTCCAGTGCTCCCGGGTTTTCCATGGTCGTCTAGCTTCAATTGACTCATGATTTTAACTATTGGAATAAAAATTTGGTAACTTTTCATTTACGATTAACAGTTTAAAAATTATCCAGCGGCGAGGCTATAATTTGTGGACGAACCAATCAGATTTAAGATAGCACACCTTAGATGTTGTCTCGAGATTCATCCATTTATTTAACTAAATATCATTTCGGCGTTATAGCTTATGTCTGTTAGTGACTAAAACATTGAATATAATTTCTAGCCCTAACGTTCAACTGTACATCTTAATCCTAGTTCCTCGCACTATTTTATACCCTTCATTTAACCTTAATAAGTAGATAAACATTTTCAAGGTCATTTTAGAGATGTTCAAAAGTGGTCCATAAATTATAGTCTTACTTGTCCAGTTATACAACAATCCATTATTTGTTTTATTAAACAGTCAATTTGACTTTTAAAATATGAATAAATTTGACATACATAAATACATGAAAGTGAAATTGTAAATTTCCTGAAACCTTACAAACTTAGATCTTGTTAGAATTCATTAGTTTTAGGAATTTCCTTATTTAATCTTAAAGTCTATTATATAATAATGTATTACAATGAAATCGTTCTCTACTTACTCATATCATCGCATCTTAAGAGTATGGCTTTGTTTAACAGTATACAATTTTCAAGAATTTCTTCTAATCAAAATAAACATAAGTACATACAAAAGTAAAGTATAGACATAAATCAATTAAACATAACTGTACCGATGGTTACTTTTAATAGTGTTTGACTAAGAGAAATACTAGTACATTACTGTGTATTTATTTACAGTAGCATACAAAATATATAGTTAATTGTAAAGTATCCACCGTGCATATATCTTGATTGTTTATTTTACTAGTATTTCAAACTATAAATCGAATGAGTAGATTAATTTTGACTTGGTTATTTATTCTCTGAAAAGTGGCTTACACTAAGTCAAGAAACATTAAGAAACCTAATTTTCCTACTCATTGAGATATCTACAAACATGTTAATTTATTTGTAACAATCTACTTAATGCTCAATTTATTTGAAATTATTAAGTCATACCCTGGTAATAATACTTGCAACCAAATGATTTCTGAATACCCTTTTATTATAACTCTAAGAATCAACATTATTTTCATTATCTTACTTCCAGGTTTGTTTTTTGTAGGGCTGAAAAATTTCAATAAAATATAAAATTAAAATATAAAATTTACGATAGTTATTAATTAACAATTTTTCTTTTGTAGATGGAATCCTTTAGAAGCATTATTTAAGCCTAATGTGCTTAATGAATCAAGTGAAGTATTTATGAACATCCCATCTACCGAAAATCATGTATGTGAATAATTTACTAAAGTTATCAGTTAACTATTTAGTAACTTGTGGCCTTGTGCCTTATCAATATATATGACGTAATGATACTGCCAATTAGAGAACAGCGATTATCGACCTGACCAATGACGCATAAAACTCGTGCGAGAAGTCTAGATTGTTTATTGGTTCTGCTTCCTGCTTAACCCTGCCTGTTAAGTCCAGAACATCAGTCTCAGGCTCTGAGATATGAATCATGTATTTTAAGCGTACTGGGTTTATATACAAACCAAGCAGACCACATCGTACCATAAAATAGAAAATAACATTTGTACAAGATCTAGTCAAAAGTAGCTGTGAATGTGGGAGATAGTAATTGATAGACCGAGCACAACTCAAGAATGGTAACTCGTATAATAATAGCCTATAGGTTAAAATAAAGCTTTTAATGAGAGGAATATGAATATTCATTGTTTAGCTACTTAATAATTATACAATAAAAATATATGTATCATATAGGTCCATTAATATTTCTCAAAAGTTACCATTCATAATTCTAATCGAGATATAACAGATGTTGCTCTTAATGCTGAAAATTCACAAGATAATATGATAACCCAGTATTTATGCAATAAAACATCGATAGGAAATGGTAACTTAGCAGTTGAGTTACTGGGATTCGGGTTCGAACACAGATTCGTTTACTTTGAATTGAGCAGTTGGGTAATGTGAATTTATAAAAAATATTTATAAACATATAAATTTCAATTTAGACATTATAACTGACGGTTACTAACTGAGTTGAATGTATTTTTAAATAAACGGAATACACTGATTGTTTTTATATAAGAGCTTTTACGACTGTAAAATATCAGGCATCTGGCTAAAAGGTATAAAGTGTCAGTAAATGTTTTAATTACATAATTCAATAAACAACTGGATTTTTGTGAAAATTATATTATTTCTTGATAAATAAAACAAATACTTGTTGAAAAGATACGATAACATTAGTTGAAACCCTACATGTCAAATGGTAATTGTTAAAATTTCTCCTAAGAGATCATAACACTTATTTGTTTCTTTTTTATTGAACTAATATAAACCTTGTTATAAGTTAAGCTATAACAGAGTACTGTTTTCATAAATCATTCAAATAATTTGTGGATTATAGAAATACAGTGCTATAGTTTTATTGAATTATAAAAGTCAATTGCCAGTAGTGTTAATAATGTAAATACTTTTATAATTCATAGATAAACATTTTGTCTAATGATTCAAAGATACTGATGAATGAACTTTATTCATTTTCTTTAATCTATACTCTTACTTTTACAGGTAGCTGAGACGGAATGTACTGATCATCGTAGTTCGGAAGTAATGTCATATTATCCAGTGGTTGACTATCAGTTTCCAAACACAACTCAGGGTAATATATTGAACTGTAAACTAACAAATGTTGATACTGCTCATGTAACGACTACAAAAAAATCCCAATATTTTAAAGAAAATCCTGTTACAGAAGAAGCACAGGAGCCTTACAGTTCACCGAAAATCGATTCCAAATCTTTTAGACATAGTAGATCATTGTCACATAATAGAATGATGCCTACTTACTCATCATCTCAGCATAAATTGCAAAGATATGAAGATTTTAATCCTTCTAGAAAATCACGTTATCAAATTTCCCATTCCAGAAAACACCCAATTGACCATCATGATAAAAACAGTCGGTTTTTTAAATGGCGTCATAGACCTTCCAGAAAAAAGAACAATTTTACACCTGACAACATCGATGGTTATTCAGATTCTGATCTAAATACTGTATATTATAATAGGAACAATATAGAATATTCATCAACTGACTGTTCCAGCAGTTCAGAGCAAAGTCCTGAAGTTCTTGGTGAAGGAATATATTCGAATTATTCAGGCCAAAAACGACACGATCATTGTCCAACTTTTGTTCATAATGCAGACTCAAGAAGAACTTTAACACAAAATGAACGAAGAAAATTGTATAATCGTGAAAGAAGTAAGCGAAGACAAAGAAATGTTCCAGCAACTGTCAATCAACCATACTTTTATGGCTCTCATCCTGTTCAACAACAAGTTCACTGTTTTTATCCTTACGAAACTGCAAACCAGAAGGTATATACCGATATACACTGCCTACCTTACGCTCCAGTACAACCAACTTGGATTCGTCCTCCATTAATAACAAATACTTTAAATCCTTATCCGTTTTATGCAACCAATCAGCCGACATTTGTGGGATCACCATCAGTTACAGTTGTACCCCGATTACATAGTACAAGTCCTCTGTCATTTTCGCATCCAAATAATGCTGATCAGCTCTTAGTATATAATTTGAATGAACAAAATGTAATAGTACCAGAGTCAAATAATCCTAATGTACACATAATCACAGAAGCAGTAGTATCAACCGAATCAATCAATTTGCAAACGGAAGTGAGTGAAAATTCATTAAATGTTTAATAAATTACTTTCTAAACTGATATATTAACTGTAAGTGAAGATTCTTAACTTAAATTCATAGATTCATTTATATCTTACCATAGATTAACCTGAAAAAAATAGATTTACAATGCATTCGACTAAGTGCGCTTCTTTATTATTCTTTATCATTGGTTTGACAATAGATTAAATATTTTCACGAGACATTACTCACAATTTATTGAGTTGTATTTCGGCAATTAATGAGATATACATCAATTAAAGATTTTTCATAATCTTGAGAATCATTATCGTTACTAATCAACACCAGCTATAAAACCATTTTAGGAGAACAAAATATTGTATAATCCATTTATTCTAGCTTAGGATTCCTTGACAGTGAGCAGCTGCTATCACCTAAGATGTGATTTTGAAATTTTACGTCTCATGGAGGCCATGATATGTTTAAACACTGAGTATGAACCATGTGGTCTCCAGCATATAACGCTAGCTTATCTGTGATTCGAGTGCACTATCTTTCTGTGTCAATGAATGAAACTACCACAATCCGAAATCACCTTAATCTACGGGTTACAAAATCTGACTAAAGCTCTGAAGAATCTATTTTAACCTCTTTCATTAGTGATAATTCAAAATGGATTACAATTATACTTTAAATTTTCACTTTATTCTAATATTTTATCAGATAGCACTACAGTCTCATTTCAAATAAATAGTAGTAAAGTCACTATTATTAAAGTACATATATATGTATACATACTACGTGCTGTTAGTGAGTAATAGGCTGTAATTGTATGTTGTTTTGGGTGGTGTAAATAAACAAAGCCGCAGGCAACCTTTTGAAGAAAACTGATTTTACTTGTAATATTCTAAAGAGGTTCATTCAATAGTTGGTAAATCATTTAAACGCTTTACTTATCTACAGTTGTCATATCTATTCGATAGATCGGAAAAATTGAGTTAAATCCTTTTATATGACATGAAGAAGGTTTATTTGTCATACTTTTGTTCACCTTCTTAGATATGGATAAACAACCATTAATTTAAGATGAAAAATGTAATAAAACTGATTAGAAATGTAGTCATCATCATAGTCTATTTTACAAATATCAATTCGTTTTATACTAATCTCATAATAATTTTAGCTACATTCCTAATCCCATATTATCATATAACTCAGTTTTATTTTATAACAGAATGTTTAATCTTTTTCATCCTCCCCATTCATTTTACTTATAAAAGAAATACCTTGCAAAAATGAATACCTTCCAAAAGATGATCAAAGTGATAAATCTTTAGTCATCTTATTAGATATTACCTAAGTGACATATTTTCCCATAAGTTTTTATCTTCTACAAGTTTCGAAAGTGTAATTCAAAATCATATAAATTCTACTTTGAACTGTTATACAAAGTACATTTTAATTGGTGGTTATTTTATCTACTTAAGTTGAATATTGAACATTAATAAATCCCTTATTCTAAATAATGAATTACATTTTGGTCAATAAATAATAAATTAGTATCAGAGGGGGTTTTTGTGGATATTATAGTAATTTAAATAGTTGAGATCATGAGTTAATTAAAGCCATACACCATGGAAAACCTGAGAGCATTGGACGGCCGTTTCGTTTAATTGTAGGACTCCTCAGCAGTGCACATTCACGCTCCCAGGACCTAGTAGAGTGACCAGTGGAGTTCAACCGGGTCTGTTGTGAGATATCAGCTCACTGATGACAGTGGTGGATGTGTAGCTCAGTTTCGTGGATTAGTTGAAGTAGACATTAACACCGTTGGATTCCGGTTCAGTGGTCTAGAGGTTAAGCGTTCGTGCGCGCGAGACTGACAGATCCTAAGCTCGAGTCTCGCCAGGCGCGGGATCGTGGATGCGCACTGTTGAGAAGTCCCACAATAGAATGGAACGGCCATTCAGTGCTTCCAGGTTTTCCATGGTGGTTTAGCTTCAGTTGACTCATGATCTTAACTATTGAATTAATAAATTGTTGTTTACTTACTATTCTTGAAATTTTAAACAAATAGATCGCTATGACCGTTACGTAATAATTAAGAATTAATCAATTTAAAAAGCTTATAGAATGAAAGTTTAAAGGAAGTTAAAAGTTATACAAACAAGTTAAATTAAATTAAAGAAAAAACGTAAAGGAATTGTGGAATGACAGATAACTGGAATAATACATTCTCACTTGTACACATATCTAATCAATGAAATTATATGAAATATCCGAAAACGTTTGAGTTATTTTAGTTTCAAATAAAAATAATGACATTGACGCTTATTTATCTAATATGTATATACATAGGTGAGTGTGAACATTTGCCATTAGTAAAATAAATTCCAAATATTCTTGGAATATTGAATAAAATGATTATTTAATCTGACTTGTAAATAGGTTAGTTACTTTTCGTACATGATTGAATACTCTCACTATTCAATAGATCTGTCATTTCGAATATTACAAAAAATTGTTGAGATTTCTAATGATTTTTCTTAAATATGATTATCATGTAACAATGAATAGAATAAATTACTACTTAGTTTACAATTTTAACTACTGTTAGATTAGTTAAACATGTTTATAAGCAAAGGTTTTAATCAAACTTTTTCCTTTCATTCATTTCGTCTGTTATAACGTGTCAGTTGAATGCTACTTGCTATATCGCCGTTGATTGTTGTGTTGGAAACTCTTATCACCTATACTCGAAACCAGGGACTTCTGCAATTCCCACGACGCGAATGTAAGAACACAAAGACTGGTTTAAGTGAAGAATTATTAACCCCAAAACACGACGATCCTAGTCGAAAATACACTCATTTATATACAGATTACACCCATTTTGATTAATAATCAGGATGAAATCACATATATAAAGAATACTCAGTTATAACAAATCACATACTGAACATAGGTCATGTCAACTGAATACAAGAATATCGTATATTATACAGAATAAAATATCATACGAGAAAAAAAAACAAATACTACATTGGGTAATCATTACATTAAATCATAACGAAAGTGATGTTAAGAGAAACTCATGAGTAAATCAATTGGATTTTGATTTTTCTTCTCGTCATATCATCGTCTAAAAAAACTGTTGACATTATTTGACTGATAAAATAACCAGAACTAAAAAGCGGTCAAATTATCGTTAAGTAAAATGTTTAATTTATTCGTGAGAATGAGAAGTTTACGGAGATTTTTAAGCGTTATCAGGATTAACAACCGACCGGAGTTAGACAATCATATCCAGAAATCACCGTATAGCTATTTCACCTTAGTATGGGACTATCCAGCAATGTGCACTAACGATCCCACCAGGGATTAAATCTGGGACATTCGGGTGTTGTGACGAATCTCTAACCTTTAAAACACTGAGCTGCGATCCTGTGAAATGGTTCACATTTCTAACTCAATTCGTGATGTTGAGCAACTATCTTCCGTTGGGAATTAAAATTAGACATAGTAAACGCTTCACTGGACTTCAAGTCACTGGTTTGAAAATTAAGAAATTGTTACCGTCATTGAAGATCTTAATTCGACCCCTAGTGTGGTCATGGATGTATATTGCTGGAAAGTGTCATATTAGGATAAAATAACTCTCCGATGGTTACTGGTTTTTGACGGTTGTCTAACTTTGGTTGGTTCATGACCTCAATAATTTCAACACGCTTTGTTTTAGAATCATATTGTTTGTTCTAAACTTTGGATACCTAATAATCATTCATATTTTGAAGTGTATTTGTCACATTGCTTTCTGTACGTGAACAAACTATCACAGCAGCATTTTTTGATTATTTCACTTACCATGTTTTTTATTCAGGGTTCAAGAGTGAAAGACTTTTTGAAATTAGGAAGTGTTTAGATAGTTTGTACGTAAGCACATATGTGCAAGACGTACCGTACGGCATAGCGCAATAGTGTATGGAATAAGTAGTCTATTTCAATGCGCCTTAATTGTGTGGAAAGATTGACCTGTAACATGCACGATCCCGTCTTGCGAGATTCGAACCCAGGATCCATCAGTCTCGCGCGAACGCTTAAACTCCAGACCACTGAGTTGACATCCAATGGTGTTAATGTCTAACTTTAACCGATCCACGAACTTGAACGACACATCCACCATTGTCATCAGTGAGTTACTATCTCACAACAGACCCGGTTAAATTCCACTGGTCACTGATTCTCACTAAAACTCCAATAAATATCTCTTGAAGTCAGTCACTAGTGAGCATATAATGATCATTATCAGAGAGAGGTTTTTGTGGATATTATAGTATTTTAATACTTGAGTTAATGAATCAATTAATGCCAGACCATCATGGAAAACTTGGAAGCACCAGGCTTTAAGCCTTTGATTCAATTATTAAAATGGAGACGATTAGATTACTGACTAACAAAATTACTGTTTATAAGTGAGCTGGTTTATATCAAGAGCAAGTTAAAATCAGTATTGAATTAAATGATAACTCATTATATTTAAATATATTGAAAAAGAATTGTCCAAAAATTAGTATAATTCAAAGACTATTTTCAGTAAAATTCACCAACAAAACATATTTATAATTTTATAATTGAATTCATGAGTCAATTGAAGCTAGGTCACCATGGAAAACCTGGAAGCACTGGATAACCGTTTCATCCTAGTATGAGACTCCTCAGCAGTGCGCACCCACGATCCAGCCTCGCGAGCTTCGAACCCAGGGCCTACCAGTCTCGCGCGCGCGAACGCTTAACCTCTAGCCGACTGAACTGTTAGATGCCGGCTCGGTGTTCTAAAGGTTAAGCGTTCGCACGCGGGTCCTAGGTTCGTTTCTCTAGGATGGGATCGTGGATGCTCACTGCTGAAGAGTCCCACAATAGAACGAAACGGCCGTCCAATGCCTCTAGGTTTTCCATAGTGGTTTAACTTCAATTGATTCATGAATTCAGTTATTAAATTACTACAATCTCTACAAAACCCCTTTCTGTTTATATTTATAATCATAATGAAAATTTTCACTTTATTTAAGATGTTGATGTTTGTAGAAAACTACCTGTGCAAACTAGTTTTTCTAAACCAATTTACACATATGAAATCAACAAAAACAAAAAGCTGTTTTTGATCAAAATTATTTTTTTCCTCTTCATTTAGGATTAATTTACCTTAAATTCTTTACGTATCGTTTATTGTTGTATCAAGTGACTGGTAATTTTTTTTAATTGGGATTAGAGAATCGATAAAAGTCATCGTACTGATATTTATGGAAAACAATATAAATTATTATTTACTATCGAATATTTAAATTTTGCTATTCACTATTTATTTATTCTTAGGATTGCTCACCTGTACCAAATCAAAATCAGCTTGAATCTAGATCATATCCAGTTCCACAACATGAAATCATATCTAATCAAAATTTTGAATCAAATTCTGTTACATTAAATAATTCTCCAACAATTCAAGTACCTGTATATTATTCTCAGGCTGAATCATTTTTTATTCCGTTTGAAACTGATTCATCAAATGTATCAAGTACATTTCACCATAAGCATAATTCAAAATTTAAATCGAAAAATAAATCTGTAACAAATCAGAAGTTAATAGAAAACTTTACTGAACTGAAACATTCGGATGCTTTTGATAATGATGTTAATAATTTAGATGGTATGAGTTTGGAACCAATCAATGTAGTAATATCAACCGCACAATTGGAAAATTATCAATTATCAGGTTCTAACGTAAGTCTGATTGACTTTAGATCATGATTTTATTTTAACTATCAAACGTTCGACGGTTTTTTCTCCAAACCAATTAAATTGTTTACTCTGGTTATACATTCTCATTTTCAAATAATTAACGTCATGATGGGTATATTTTGTACTGTATTGTATGATATATATTTTTTTCGAAGAATGTTAGCATTGTTGATATTTCATTGTTTATGTGAACAATCCAACGAATTATTGACAATTGAAGTCTTCAATAGGATCAAACATTTGTCTTGAATTCCACTGCTATCCAAAACCAAAGGTTTCTCAATTTTTTAGTTTACGATACTACCACTGATAGCTTTAACTTCCTCAACATATCGACATTTGTTTTACTGAGGTTTGTTAATTTTTCTCGTTGAGTTAATGAGAATTATAACAGATTTTGTTAACATTAAGACCAAAAACATCTGTTAAAAAGTTGTTATGCTGAGTGAATTGGATATAGATTGATTAAGGATGATTTATCTGTAACTTCTGTTGTGAAAACAGCCAAGTATTTAAACAATAACGATAAATAACTTAGTAACACAAGAACGAAAATCATATCACTGAATTATATGCGTTTTGTTCTGATCTTAAAACTCATCAACATAGCAAAATTACGACCCCGTATAGGTCGAAATGTAGAACCAATTGGTTTGAAATCTAACAGAATACATTTTCATACTATCAAATCTTCTATACTCCCAAGAACCTAAAGAAAGTAGCCTTCACAGTTCAAGAGCACGCCACCTGTTGAGGATAGCACATGAAGTGGGTGCGACGAAGGGATTGAAATCTATGGACAAACAGTCATGCATGAAAATATCAACTATAACCAATCATGAATATGCACATCATCAAAAAACACTTAGCAGTCTTGAAGACTAGTATATTATAAGATGGACAAAAATATTGATTATCAGGACTTTATTGTTTATGTGAATATACAGTGTGAAGTGAATACAATTTATTCAATGATTATTTTATATATTTGGATAAGTGTACTCTCGATAAATGGAAACCAAATAGATTATTCAAATTTAAAAGTATCAGGTTTAAAATTAATTAATTTGATATGAACAAGAAATTGTGAACAAAGTGACATCTAATGAATCATACTGTAGTGAGCAGAACACGAGTAGGGACAATCGAATATATTTGAGCATAAAAGTTACAGAACGTCTCAATAAAATCTGAGAACTTTATAGTACATTGTTAATCTGCAAAATATCAATCCATCATATCAAACTGGGCTGTTCCTTTTGCAAACACCAATCCAAGATGTACTTCATCTTCGATTATCTACTGTGTAATATATTAATAATAAACAAATTAACATAATTTTGTATCTATATCAAGGTGCATACATCCTTAATTATTGAACTTTCAGTAAACTTTTAATTGATAACCCAAAACTAATTTATTTTTTAAATCTAAATTTCTCACATGAACTATTTTCATTTAAAAACTTGTTCAAAAATAAAACATGAAAATTTATTAAATTTGTAGAGAATCACATCAAGTTCTGATACTATGGAACAGTCAAAAAATAACATTCATATAACTCCTGATCAGTATGTAAATAATTGTAAATCTAAACAATCCGAAAAACAAATACAAGAATCTATTCGTCCAAGAAAAGATAGTATTTTACCAGTAAGACAAGAAGTTTGTATTTTTTCAGATCATTTCTAAAACTTTTGTATATTTCTTTTATTTAAAAAAAGGTTTGTAAAGTTTTGTTTAATTTATAGGCAGCATTTGTCACAGGATTGATCTCGCTTGTGATATGAATACTGAAGTGTTCTATATCAGGATTAAAATAGAAAGCTATTAAGTACTCCCTCAGTTTTAACGATATCATTATTGTGAACAATGTTTGACCAATACTAGCCATAGATTTTTCATTTATTAATACTTAATCTCATTTTATTTTTTTGAAGATCAACTGTTGGTGAGACTAATTTATGGACGACCTTTGAGCGACGCTAGACTGACCTTGAGGGTTTCCACCTAATAACCAATACCAAATGAGAGTTATAAACCTGTGTGAGGAATTAGAATTATGATTTACAGTTGATGATTAAGGTTAGGAATTAGATTTCGGGTTTTCATCACGAACTGACATCAGCTATATTGCCAAAACTGTATTTATCCAAATGGATGAGTAAATTTCGCGCCAAAATCCGAGACCTGTTATCTTATACTTGATTGCTTCGTCCATAAAATATAGTTTCACCCAACTGTCTTCTAATAAAGTCGCAATATTATTTAATAGATGAATTTGCATGACTACAGTCAGTCAGTCAGTAACAACGTAGAACTTCGTACGTACGTACGTCAGTTCGAGTTGCCACACCACATTAGCACAGAGATTCAGTTATCGATTCAAATCCATAGTGGTAGAGGTAGTGAAAGTATAAGTAGTGATAGGGAACATTAAGGTTTGATGATGTTATTTAAGGAGTATAATCCAGTGGAATAAATTTGGAAAGAAAATAAAGGACATGAAGAATTCAGAAGATTAGATTTTGAGAGAACACAAAGAGTGGATGCACCTGCGCCATTGCAAACGATTTTGAGCCATGTCATTCAAGGTCTCTAACCACCGGTTGCTATCATCTCGCGGTCCCCAACCAGGTAGTCTACACCTACCAACATAGCTTAGTCCATTTGTCAGTGACTTCATGGATTTGTGCCATGTTTTGGTCTGGCCGCCCCTAGTTTTCTCCCAACCTACTCCTACAGCAGAAAAAACCGCACGTCGTGGCAGTCGGTTGTCGGGCATACGTAACACATGTCCTAACCATCGTAACTGATTAAGTTTCACTACATCATCAATTGATTTGCCATCCTCACCTAGTACCCGTTTCCTAATGTTGGGATGATCCAGAAAAGTACTCGCAAAAGACACGCAAGGATCAGGAAACCTTAAGAAGCATTTCATCCAATCAGCGTTCACTTGGAAATTAGCCAGAAACATCAAGGATGTGAAACGTCACATGTAGAGGTTCTGATTGGTTGGTTGTTATACCGCTACTATGTTTAGTAGCATTCCAGAATCTTCGAGCAACCCAAGGACATTCAGAATATTATAAAAACCCTATGTTTTCTGTATTAAAATGAACCTTGAAGTAAAGTACTTTTCGCATACTTTACGCCTTCTCCCTCGTGTTCAGGTCGCTGTATAGTTCTAGCTTGGGGGTTTCAAGAATAGCTTAGGAATCGAGTATAGCGTTCAAAATCGCAAGACTTATCAGTGGCGACGGGAAAAAGTACAATGAATATTTCTTTGGAGCAACTAGAAGCTTATATGCAGCGTCAAGAAAAGAGATTTGAACAGTCCCAAATCAGAATCATGGAAGCCCTGATGCAGAAATTGTGCCTGTCCCAGCAAAACCCTGCTTCTGGTGAATCCCAAGTATCTCATAATGATTCAGTTAATAATGCCATCCATGAATTTAATTTTGATGGTGCAGCAGGTTTAACTTTTGATTCTTGGTTTTAGAAGTATGAAGATTTATTCAATATTGATCTCTGCAAACTTGATGGCGCTTCAAAAGTCAGAACACTTCTAAGAAAACTTGGGACGATGAAATATGAACGCTATAGTAATTTCATTCTCCCGAAGAATCCACGAGACTTTAGCTTTGATGAAACAATTAAAACCCTGTCTCAAATCTTTGGAGAACAATCGTCTCTATTTAATATCCGTTATCAATACTTGAAGATAACAAAAGAACCAGGAGATGACTGGGTGAAACATGCAGGAATTGTGAACCGAGAATGTGAGAGGTTCAAATCGTCTTCCATGACTGAAGACCAGTTTTAATGTCTAGTATTTGTCTGTAGACTGCATTCACCCGAGGATGCTGACATCCGAACAAGGATCCTAAGCGAACTCGAACACTATCCCAACATGACCCTGCAAGAAGTAGCGACCGAATGTCAAAGGTTAGTGAATTTAAAGCATGATACCTCGATGGTAGAAAACGGTGACCGGTTCCTTCATGTCCATGCAGTCGAGAGAAAATTATCACAAGGTTCCAGCACGCAGAATAATCGTAATTACAACGAAAAACCATCATCCCCATGCTGGTTATGTGGCGGTTGGTACTTCAAAAGGTTTTGTCCGTTTAAAAATCATCGTTGTACTATGTGTTCCAGAAAAGGGCACAGAGAAAGTCATTGCAAAACCCGAAAACGCCGTCAACAGAAAGTGCATTCTAAAAGATTCAAGCCACAAACAGCCAAAGTAACAGTAGTTCTTCACCAAGCTGGCTCCCATCACCGTAAAAAGTATGTTTCTCTCAAGATTAATGGGTATGATGCCCGCTTACAATTAGACACAGCCTCCGATATAACGCTTATAAGCAAGAGAACGTGAGAGAAAATTGGAAGACCGAGAATATATCCAACTCGTCAATCAGCACATAGTGCATCTGGGGTAATTCTAAACATTACTGGTGAAATTCATTGTGAAGTCACGGTCAAAGAGTTTACGGAGAAGGGCGTAATATTTTTGACAGACCGTCCATCACACGACTTATTGGGGCTTGATTGGATAGAAAAGTTGAAATTAACAGACTGCCCCATAGACTCGATCTGCAACAACGTCAGTACGTCGAAAGTTGAGAAGGACACATTCAAAAGAGCACTATTGAAAGGGGAAGGAGAACGGACAAGTCAGCCTAACTCTATTGTCCCAGAAGGAAAATCTCCTGCTGAAGCGATGTTCGGGAGAAGCATTCAAGCTACATTCAACGCTGGGAACCGGGAGTCTTTGAGAAGAGAATGGGGAATGTTTTATACAAAGTGCGTGGGACTTTAGGAATGTGTATTAAACACATTAGTCAAATACACAGAGAGAAAAGGACTCTAGACACCGTAGATAGTCAAGTGAGGCTTCCGCTAGATATAATTACAGATACTCCAATGACAGGAACCCCAACAGACACTCATAAACGATGAATACCAAGAAAGTCCGAAAGCAGAAGAAAACCAGTAGTCAAGCTGCAAGTAGACCCGAAGAAGAGGTCTTATTTTTTGAAAGGGGGGTGTTAGGATAATAATAATAATAATTTATATTCTGAAAAAATGATAATTACAGAATTCACGCCAGTTTACAGGCATGATCAATTTGATATAAATAATATCATAATATGTACAGAACAAACATGTGATATGAGTTTATAGTTTACTAGTTCAGTAATTGTTTAGGTATTACAGCGATCCAATGCATCAGCCAGGAACATTTAATATTTCTTAACTGGACAGTCTGTTGATTTATGAACGGTGTAATTAAGGTCATTTCGTGTGCCAGATCGATTTAATGATAAATATCTACAACTAGAGAAATTGAAACGAAAACAGAGAGCACGGAACAACAAAGCAGTAATTACCGAAATATGTCAATCAGACCTATCAAAATGCGTATGTCATGTGACACAGTGATATACTGTTGATGATATTCAAATTAGTTAAACTAGCTGGGGACGGTATTAACATAAAGTGACAGCAAGTTGGTGGTTTTATCCAGAGAATGCACTAATAAAAATGCCTAAACATTTAAAGTTCCTATAATAACACTTGTGGAGTGAGATACACTAGCAGGTGCTAGAGCATTCAATGCATTTTCGGAGGAGCAGTATGCATCGATGCAACGTACAAATAATGGGAGTGATTTTATCGTACGGATATGTTGTGGTGGGTTATCCCAGAGTCTAGAAAATTTACAGGCAAAGTAATTCATATAAAGAGATGATTTAGAATAAGTTTGTTTCACAAGTGCCAAGGAATGACGGGTTTCATAATGAGGAGTTTCTGCGTATTGAATTACATAATTGGATGTAAAGGATAATTTATTAAGTAGTTTGAAGAAAAAAATAAGATTTAGTTTGAGTCTCCTCTTCCATAAAGGGTCTAGCTCTAGTTTTTTACATCTAGAATTATAAGTTAAGGTGCAATCAGCTCCAAGAATACGAAGTGTAAATCGTCTCTGTACTGATTCCAGCCTTAATTTATCCTTTATGCGCGCACTGCTAAGAATAAACGTGCAATATTCTAGAAGAGGTCGAACACAAACTTTGTACATTAAAATTCGTGATTCATTGTTATGAAGGTTTCGAATTGTGTAACCTACTAGTCGTTGTGATTTGGAGGTCTGTTTCGATATCTGTTCTTTAAACGACAAGTCCTGGGAGTATCTAAGTCCTAAATCTACTACTGTATGTAACCTAAATAACATTTCTCCATTTAAGGTAAGGTCTAGGTTAAGTGATGTATCGCCGAAGCATATCCATCCACATTTAGCCGTATTAAGTTCCAGTTGCCATTCCAAGCACCACTGTGCTACCTTGTTAAGCTCCAAGTTAATGCAAGATTGCATATTTTCCAGCTCATGTGGAGAAAATGAATATACTAGTTTAAGATCATCTGCATATAGAAGGGGCTTAGCTACACAAAAATTTTCACAAATGTCATTGATAAACACTAAAAAGAGCAAAGGGCCTAAGACACTACCTTGTATTACACCACTTCTAACAGGGACAGCGTTAGACAATGAAGAGTTAATTTTAACTATTTGATGTCGATTGCTGAGAAATGAATCAATCCAATCTAGCAAAAGATTTTGAACCCCATAAGATGCAAGTTTGCCTATAAGAAGTTGGTGGTTAACCATGTCAAAGGCCTTAGAAATGTTCAGATATAGCACTAAGACTAGATATCCTTGGCTACGTAGAGAGTAGACTAAATTAAAGAAGTCGAAATGGCATGTCATGCAAGATCGATTTTTGAGAAATCTATGTTGAGTATCATTGATGAAGTTTCCAGCGAGTAAATAGTTGGAAAGTTCATCACTTACAATTTTCTCCATAATCCTAGAGATTACTGGAGTAATATTTACTGGCCGATAATTGTTCATGTCAGTCGAGCCTTCTGTATCCGTACTGAGATTTCGTCACACACCAGACCACAAGGGCTGATGAGACTTCCGAGATAAGTGAAGCGGTCGACACGCTCAACTACTTCACCCTTTATCGTTAGTTCGGCTATCGATGCGATTCAATCCTGAAGCTACATTTTGCATTTCGAGAGGGAGAGTAGCATCCCGAACATGTTTGCATTGTTGCTTAAGGTGGTCAGAGGACTGCATTTTATCAGTGTCTTTACCAAATAGAACTATGTCACCGGCATATTCTAAGTCCGAAAGTGAATTTCCCGGTAGAAGTTCAACCCCTGGAAATTTAGATGAGGAAATTGTTATCTCTAAAAGTACATCAACGACAAAGTTAAACAAGAATCGAGAGAGTGGGCAGTCCTAAAAGTACAAGTTAAGAATTTTAAAGTGATCTAATTATATATTTCCTTTAATCAATTTTAACACTGATTAAGTACATGTATTTATTTAGCGGACATATTTTTTTCAACATTTTACATTATGGACATATTTCTGTTTTATTGATTTCTACCTTCTCATTATTGTTTTTTTTGTTTTAATCTGAGGAAATTAAACAAAAAATTTGTCAAGTGATCGATTACCTTTGAGCTTATTTAAATATTGCAAAATAAAATGACCTTTAAAATAAATATTGTATATCTCAAGAAAAACAATCAGTTTTAATTGTTAACTTTTATTATTTATACAATTGAAACAATCTTGAGTTGTAGTTTAAACAGACATTTGAATCTAGAACTAATATGTATAAATTGACATATATATATCACGTTATTAAATTAGTTCCTTTAATTAACATGTCCTATGAAACAACGTAAATCATATGATATTTCATTGACAAATGAAATCTCCAATATCTAATTGAAATCAATGCAATCAAAGCATATAACATATAATTCCCATTACAACTTCATATATTATGATTAAAAAAATGATCCACTTTTGGATAACTTCTTTACAAACATTATCAGTAAAGATGGATAGTGGCTAGAAGTGGAATTCAGGACGCGTGTTTCCTCTTATTTGGGATTCATCAGATGAATGTACCTGCATCTCAGAGTTGATGTTCACTCCGGGACTCAAACCTAGTATCGTTGACTTCAAATGATATTGCGTTATCCACTTAGCTAGGACAAAACGTGCGTCTTAAATTCTACTCCTAGCCACTATCTATCTTTGCTTATAATGCTTGTGACTTAAGACAATATCCAGGCATTCCGCACAATATGCACATATGCTAATAAAAGATTGATCAATTGCAGTCCTAAATATTAATAGGAATTAAACAATACCAAGTGAATTTAACTTCTTCACAGCTACATAAATCTTTTCAGAATATTGTATTTTAATATACCACAAGGTTATATTAAGCACCATTATAGATAAAATGAAAACTATAATGAACTTGTATCTCGTAAATTCATTTTTAAAAAAAACACTAATCTCTACAATGTTACCAATTAAGTAGACTACTAGTTTTTTATAGACTGATGATTTTGTATTAAATGTTAACTATAAGGTTTGACTAATAACAAAATTACATTATTATAAAAATAATATTAGCAGGTTAGAGTGAAACGGTGACAATTTAATGTTTTTTCTTACATAAAAGAGATTAGAATATTTATATAGGTAAAAGAATTTCTCTTGAAAATCTGCATACAGACTAAATATAGAGAAAAATTCAGTGATCTTTATATTTTTTTGTGAACGCTTCGGTTTATTCACTTGAAAAAACAAGTCAGTCAGTCAGCTACAACGTAGGACCAGGAACATATATGCATCGGTTCAAGTTGCCATACCTCATTAGCACAGCAAGATGAACACTGGATTCATAGACGTAGTTGATTCAATAGTGGTAATATATAAAAGAAAGATTGCATATAAGGATATAGTACAGGAAGAAGTAATTAGTGCATAGAAAGATATGATGGTTTGAACTGAATGGTAACATGTAATTATCTTATATTATCAGGTTCTTATCAGCTACTTATAAAGTGTAGTATTTCAGTATTAAATTATAGATGGAGTTTAATGTACCTTTCAAAATAAATACCAAGGTATAAAAGTTTGCACTATAGACCAATTTTAGTTGAACAACTATTGAAAACCAGAAAGTACTGGACAACTAGTTTCGTCTTGGTGTGAGAATTGAGAGTAGTACACATCGAATTGAAGGTAGACGTGTAAACTATTGGATACAGACTCAGCGGTTTGAATCGTTATCTGGAGATCTTCAGTTCAATCTCGGTGGAATTGAGAATACGCACTGCTGAGAAAAACTCATACTAGAAAAAACTATCTTTGTTGTCTAGCTAAGGTCAGTCTGCGATTTATACTACAAAATTCAACAATTTGGGCAATAGTTTATAATAATATACCTAGAAAATATGGTAAAGGTTCTAATAAAGATAAAAAGGTTGAATCAAGTATTGCAAATAAATATCATATTCAAAAGAATGTTTGACAGCATTGGATTATTTGGATGGTGATTTAATTATTCATGTACCTGTGCTGTAATGGCCATATAGTATCGTATAATTTAATTGATTTCATTAAGGTTATTAACATTAGTTATATTATAGATAAAAATTTTTAACTCGGAAATGTATATTTTGTCCAGCACTAGATTGATCAATTCTGTAAAGCTACATTTTAGTTTGCTTTTATTTCCACTCAAAGCAAAACTCAGTATTCATTACATCGAATCTCATTAAAAAATATTCCATACATACTGCCGTAGTTATAGTAGTATATTCTTAGAAGGGATCGTAATGCCCATATGGGATGGTCAGTCTGATGCCATAATCTAACAGAAAAAAGTTTTCAAATTTGAATAGAACCTAATAATTTTAATCCAAATCATTTCAATGTTTCATATAATCGATACAAAATATTTGGCAATATTTGTTTCCATACTAGTTGGTACTTATGATTCTAGTATATAAATAACTTCATGAACTATATATTACTTATGAAGTGAACAATCATGTAATATGAAACAAATGTGATGCAAACATCTTGGATACAGAAGAAAATAGATCAAGTTTTCGACCAAAAACATTGTTAACTATTTCTTATTTTTCAAGAAATCTTACTTGAAGACTATCATGTCATAAATGTATGCAATATGTTTTGAAATTTTTCTAATATTTTTGAACAGACTTATTTAGAGAAACGATCCATGAAAGCATATAAAAAGGAAATAAATAGTTCAGAGAATTCTAGATTATCTTCGGGAAAATCACAAATAACTTCAAATATGAAAGAAAATTCGTCTAAAATCAATGAAAATGTTGTAAATACAACTAAAGTAATAATTCCTATTCATCAAAGAAGAACTGCTAGTGTCTCACGAACAATAGGAGTCGTTAAGCCTAATTTTAATGGGGGTAAGTAATTATAAAGGATTTTTTTCTGCAACGGTGTAATAGTGTGAAATGATATAGACAACATGATGTTTCTCTATTAGCATTCTACATCACACTTATTAAGCCAATTTACTATAGATTCATTTCACTATGAAATCAATAAAATTAAAATTGCACATAATGAATGTTGTCCTACAGGATAAACTGTGAGTCATATGTAAAGAAATTCTAACACTTCACTTCTACTTGAAGTTTGTACTGATGATGTCTTACAGAAGAACAATGAAAGCTTCAAGACAAAACTCTCCAGCTCAGAGAACGAAACTCCACCAAAATTCAAATTGCCTTATTTTAACTATAATACTAACTATAATATTAACCCTTGGTGAATTATATTCTAATACCCTACATCTTTTCCTGAAGAGATTGTTAAGATTAATCTGCTTATAGTCGATTAGTCGGTATTTTTCAGTGAACATAATTTGTGATATAACCACGTTCTTAAAGCTATGGTCAAGTGTTTGTCCAGCTGTATGATTAAATCATAAAGATACACAACCTTCCAGTATATCTCTTGAGTACATCAGAATACCAGTAGATCATTATACTCATGTTTCTGTTTGACTGATAGGTGTATATAAAATTTTTAACGTTATTCCAGTATGAAACTTTGTTTATAATTTGTCAGCACCAAAATGTTTATGCAAAAGATTTTCTCAAGTTGTTTGGCTCTTAACTTCTCAGCACACTCATCTATACTTTAATATTATTAACGGCTATTGGAGTGGACAACAAATCTTCTATCTAGAGTCAAGTCATTTTGTGTGCCACTTTTATTGTTTATTATAAGAACAATTTCATCTCAGAAATACCGGTCAATAAGCCTATAAAGCGTGTCATATAAATTCTATTTTTACGTACATTGTTAAGAACCATCAAATGTGTACTTAATAACCTGGAGTAGATTTATAGACTCGGGTTTAAGCCAAAAATTGTGTACGGAACTGAATAACCCTACCCGGTTACTCAAACTGAAGAAGACGAATAAGATTCCAACTTGAGATATACTAGTTTACTACTGAGTTTTTAAAATCATAAAGCATGACTCCATAATGTATCATTTTTCCGAAGTCACTGTCTGAAGTTCGTTTCATTAAAAAATTATGTTGATAAAAATAAATCTGGTGATTTAAATTAGATCGGTATACTTATCATCGATCACAGATTAGAAGGTATAAGTGGTAAAGAGATACTCCGCTGAAACGTTTTCAGTTATCAAGACATTCAAGACTAAAAACAAAAATACGTGATTTCATATAGGATATGCAAGTCACTTCAATATGTAACTTTATTCTACCTTCTTGATATCATTTCTTCTGAAGTTGATATAATAATTTGCGCACAACTAATTATAACTTGTATTGAAAATGCACTTTCAAATTCCTAGTGAAATGTTATGACAATTTGAGTTAATCGAGTTGATAAAAATTATATATAGTTTGTGTGATGTAACATGCCGACTAGATTTGAAATACTGGGCCATTGGTTCAGAACTATTTTTCTATCCTTGAAACCACAAAATCCTGCATAGAATCTCATATTCGATCATGCTTAAGGACTGTTAAGCAGTCTCAAACTAGTGTACAGTATTTAAAGTTTCATATCATGGATCCACTTTAATTAGGCCACCTCTGGAAACTAGGAAACACTAGACATCTGTTTCGATGCAGTATAAGAGTATTTAGGAATAAATATCCACATCCCCTCCAGGACTCAAAACAAGATATTTAGGAGTTCAATGAGATCTTCTAACGTTCAAAACATTGCGTTGATACCCGATGTTTTGTGATTCTTCAGCTGATTCGCGGTGTTACGTAACCCCCAATGATTCCAATTAATGATATTTATCTGATACCCAATATGATTAAAATCCACTGGTTAGGATTATGCACCACAACCTCGCAAAAATATCTCTCGAATTTAGTTATGAGTATGCATATTATGATTGATATTATAAGGTATTGCGGAGAGAATAATTTTCTAATGTACTCTAGTTTATTAGAGTTTGTTTACTTCCGCCAAACCACTAAAATAAATCACAATTTAAGAACATAAACCTTTTTGTAACATCCGTGTTTTGAAGTAAGGTTAATCAAGTCTCAGTGAATTATTTTTTATTTTACTAAGTTAAAATCTACATTAATTGTAATGACCTGAATATCAACATATTTTATAGGACAAAGAAGACATACACAAGATGAATTGTCTTTATTAGATATTAAATCAGAAAGTCACATTATTGAAACTGGATCTTCTAGTGATTTGAAATTATTTGTTCAACTACAAACAAAATCAAATCGTCGAGCTATTTCAAATGCATTGAACTATTGTTGTTTAGCAGGACCGGTAAACGAAACAATGAAAAGAACTGCACTTGAAGTAAGTAAATAATAATAGGATCTGTCGGAGGTAATCATTTCTTCATATTAAATAATGTTAACAAAGTATCGTAAGAATATTTTGCATGCTGATAGCCTACAACTATATAGTGGCCATTGGTTTTTTAATCAAGATATACTTATTGTACGATGTTTTTTCACCATAACAATCAACGATATTATCTAATTTTTGAAATCATTTATCCTATCAAATAGTATATAAAAGAATATTACTTTTCAGTATGGAATATTTCTATACACAATAATAATAATAATAATAATAATAATAATAATAATAGTAAGAACCTATATTTTCATTGATTAAGTTAATCAAACTGTCTACTTTATCGTTATACGAGGATCGAATGGGAAATGCGTATTCGTTGATATACACGAAATTAGTTGTTTAATCCTTTCAATAATTAAGTCATAAGTTAAGACTTTTATATGCCTAATTTCATTTATTCAGCCTTCTACTATGTCTATACCTCAGATAAAAGCTGCGTCCCATAGGGTAGATGAGGTACACGTTGATTACATTACCTAGTACACTATTATCGTTTTCTAACCTACAGTATTTCAGATAAATACAGACATGAGACTAATCAAAACTCAATCGTTTATTTTGTAAAATTTCCTCCAACGTCATAGTACACGATAATGATTTAATCATAGTTAATAAGAAAATAGTTAATTTACTAAGGTATATATGATTTCAGCATCAAATGTCTTTTATTAATTTGACTACCTAATTGTAAACATAATTAGACTTCGAGTGATGATGAATCAATAACCGATATGCCAAGAAGTTACCTATCCAGGAATATTAATAAACGTTTTTTATTACAAAACTTCTTTATCTAAGCCCCATTTTACCATTTTGTAAATTGTTTCTCTTCTGAAATCTGTTCTTTATGTTACATTGATTTTTTGACATCGAATCATTCGTAAAATTATACTCATTTTTTAAAATTTTTTAATTGAGAATAAGAGATGTATTTAAGTGAACTTGTATTGATTATTGTGCTATCCATCGTTTATATCTTAATTATATATTTCATTCTAAGTTGAGCATATTTTGTAAATGGATTGAGTTCTCACAACTCTTTTGATACCATTCAAATTTTGTGAATTAGAACTATAATTTTGTTGAAATCACAAACTGATCAAAGTTAGACAAGCACAAAAAAATAGAGGGCACTAAACTGTCGCTTCATTTTGGTGTGACACTTCCCAGCAGTTTGGATCCGCGACTTCACACGCGGGGATCGAACCCAGGACCTTCAGTCTTGCACTCGAACCGTTAACCTCTATAAAACTGAGTTGGCACCCACTGGTGTACAAGTCTATACCCATACTGATAACTAATACTACAATTATTTTGATTAACTTTAATAATGATTGCTTGTAGTTGATTGCCATCTTTATATTTCAATGTTTACATAAAACATTACCTCTTTTAGTAAAAAGAAGCAAACAAATATAGAATGCATTAACACGAACACAAAACCATGTTGCTAAGAGTGGTTTGATAGAAATCCATGAAATATAGTAACCTTGCATTTTATGCCGTGGTATTTCGGGTCACTTAGTCCAGTAGTCACAACTTAACTCGACTGATAGAATTATTTCACCGCTTTGAACAAGACAGCACGACACTTTCTACTATTCAACCACAGATGGATATTTTTTTATTAGGGCGTTTATGAGATGTTAGAGAATAAGTTGTTTTGAGAACTGAGAATAATTTGGTTTTTCCAAATCAAATATAGTCACAACAGTTTGTTTACATCAAGTTTTTTAGACGGTAGAGACTTGTAGTTTAGAGAAAACAAGTTGTTAGCTACTTGTATAAGATGAAAACGTTTCCATTATCTACGAATTTGGAAATAAATATATCTTTCTTTGTTTTGACACTTAATCATCACAATTCAGATTTATTCAGATGTTTTCTTTGAACTGAATAATAACATCTAGGAAGTTCGAAAGGAAATCACAAGGGATATTATTTAAAATATTTAGAACTTTATTCAAATATGATGCTAATATGAAATCAGATATAATGGAAGTGTTGTAAATATCTCATATTCTATCACTATTAAGTTGAAGAGTTGACATACATACATCTAAAGAATGTGCAAGATCAAGTTAGGGATTTCTTTCAGTATAATATCTTAGTTATTTAGAAATCTACACAAAAATGCTCTAACCGGCCTCCTAGACAAAACAAACATTACCGAAATCTAAAGTATATTAATAGAACCTTAAACTCAATAAAAGTATAACCAATTTTATGCGATTTTTAATTCTCAGCATATTAATAGTTATCATCTGATACCTTGAATAATAATACTCCCTAGTGGGATTAAAGTAATCACCAAACTTATATAAACAGAAAAGAATTTTTATTAATCCTATTAGTGTTTCAAAACAACTCATGTTCATTTCCTATTTAACTTGACCGTAAATATTAAAATTAATCGTATTATTTAATTTGACTTATATTCAATGTTATTGCACTAACGGCACGCATGACTTCACCCTACTGTTTAATGTTAACAGTAGTAAACATAATTGCGAAACGTTTAGATAATGACAAAACAAACAGTACCGTTTTCAATGTGATTTAGGACGCCTTTTTCCTATGAATAAGCCAAAGCTTAGGTAAATTATCTAAAATAGTTGTGTTAGTAATGCTTGATTTTGATTAATAGTGAAATCCAGGTCTCTTGTTACTTCTTATTTGGGACTTGTCAGCTGGTTATATCTGCATCTTAGTGTTTATGCTCACACTGAGACTTGGACTCATTACCTTTCTCTCCAAACGTCAACGTGTTACCAATTGAGCAACTGAGTCAAGATAGTCACAACCTCCCCTTACACATTACGTAACAGTAGTTTGATTTTGTACACGTTTCGTCAATCCAATTAGTTTACCAGTAGTTTATCATCAATATTAAATTCAGTTGTTCATTATTAGCTAAACAGTGGATATATTTAATAAGTGTTAACTAATTAGTAGTGACATAATATAGATCATAATATAACTCACGTAGCGTAATTACAACAATATAAGATTGTGTACCTTCTACATTGTGTGAATAAGTAAACTAGCTGTAATACTAACAAATTGATAATGGATTATACAAAATGGAATAAGCTTTTTGAAATAAAAATTATTTGTCTCATTAATAAAATATAAAGGTATCTACAGGATTTGAAATAAAAACTAAAACAATTACGAAAGTTAAACTCATAATATCACCAAACAAAATTAGCGGAGTAGGATTGGGATAGTCGAAAACTAAAGTATATGAAATAATAATGAGAAAAATGAGATTTTCTTTTGTAGATTTCATTCATGAATAGTAAAAGCATCTGTTGTTTATAGGACTAGGATGAGGAGAAATGAATAGTTTCTGGAAACAATCCTAAAACACATGTGAACTCCATCCATTGTAACCCTTCTTACTGACACTATTGAACACTGTTGACGATGTAATTGTCTATTTCTCCTAAATTTTCTTTGATTACCTAAGTAAAAATATTTTATGATGTAACCTATCTTAGAATTAAATAATCCATTATTAGAATCGAATAAATTAGGTTTTTAAATGTTAGAAGTCAAATATTATTGAACGATTTTATTCAAGCGAAACTCAAGTTCTAGGAATTTTTAATGTTTCCAGTTTAATCCCAACAGAACCACTAAAAATATGTGTATATAATCCTAATTAAAACTATCATATTTTAACACGTCAACTAAAAAGATATGTTGAAAGGACGTTTCACGCCACCAAACTACACCTAGTTTTCTCAACTAAACCAGTATTCATACAACTAATCAAGGATAGGATACTGAAGATGGGCTCCTCCATATGTGTATACCAATTAAACTGCTCCTGTGGAGATAGTTACATAGGCCGTACTCAGAGGGCTTTATCCTTGCGTGTTCGTGAACATGTACCAGCATGGTTGGGAAAACGAGTTACTAAATCGATTAATAGCATTATTCTTTCTCACTTGGTAGAGGGTGAACATCATATCAAAATAGAGGAAGCTTTCTCTGTTTTACATCAAGTTCCAAAATACCTACCTCAAGGAGCTAGATTACTGTTGCTCTACATAGTCGAGGTCATCTGGATCAACTCCAGAAAACCAAACTTATGTATGCAGAAAAGATATATCCAGCCTCTATGTTTACCTTGGCTCACGACTGGATCACCGGATACCTAAACTGAATATTATAAACATCTTACCCCCTTCTTCTTTCGGTTACCTCTATCTTAATCTTCACATTCATCCTGCTCAATTCGTTTATCGTAATTACCTTGATAACAACCCCCCTTATTACATGTTATATTCACACAACAATCTTATTATTATTATATCAATTGACAAGATGAAATTCTCCTACTGTGCATTTTATTCACACAATTTGTTGCATTTCCATTTTTGCTATAATACTATTCTACTTATTGTGACTGGACACTTTACTCCAAATTATTCTGACATTTCTAATTTGCAAATAATACAATTTTGAAGTATATATGTCGTAACAGATGCAAACGTTCACCATTTTTAACACATAACATTGTCAAATTCATTAATACATGCCTTATTTTGGCCTTTGTAAAATATCATAATAATAATGAACTTATGACTGTAGTACCTGATGATGAAGTTATTGGAAACAATGGTTCACTCAAATATTCTTCATTTTTGAATATCGTACAATCATTTAGTCCAACTTGGTCTTTATTTTCTAGTTGTTTTTCATCAGTAGTATTGTTTCCTTGTAATTAAAGTTAGTTATCAATAATACACCATTCTTAGAAAATGCAAATTCTTTAATGTAGATGAAAAAAAAATTCATTCCATAATGCTCTTTAAACTAGGATCAGACAATGTTATTGTGCAAAGTTTTTTTTAGGTTACATAGCTCTATTTGACCGATTGTCTTAAAATGATGATAGATTGGATGATGAATAACAATTATTTATGAAAATTCAATTGAACAGTAAAACATGAAATAAATAAAAAACATGAAATAAAGATTTACATTGGACTAATGAATAACAAACAATTGAAATTAGTATAATAGATCATGATTTGCATTAAAAGGAAATAAATTTTAAAGAAAATTGTTATTTTCAGAAATTAGTATTCATTTACTCTGAGAAGTGGTTTTGTGGATATTACAGTAATTTCAGTGGTTGAATTCATGAGTCAATTAAAGCTAGACCACCATGGGAGAACTGGAAGCACTGGATGGCCGTTTCGTCCTAGTGTGGGACTCTTCATTATATTACTTAACAGGATAACTTTATTAGATAAAATAATTGTGTGATAGTACTTTTCTCTTGTAATTTCAAATAAATCTGATTGTTTCCTCTTTGTTTTTTTCTATTTCAGGCTCTTGGATGTTCAGATGGTAAACATTTCATAATTCTTTTAAAAAGTCAATGTCAGTACGGTGGATTATATAATTATTTACCAGTTATTGAAAAAGCGATTCGTATTAGTGGAACAGGACCTAGTAAAATTGAAAATGATATGGTTGATAAATACTATAAGTTAGTTGATTAGATTATAAATTTCTATAATTGTCCTACGGTTTATTTGCATTTGATCACTTTCAAATCGTAATTGCACAATTTCATTTATTTGGTTGTTTTTAAATACCAGTAAATTTCATGTGACTAGTGTTTAATCCATTCAGCTTTCAATTAACAGACTACAAGCTCACACACGTTTTAATTTGAACAGTTTTATACCATCACTCCCCTTTACATAATCACTGTAATTCAAGGCTGAATATTCGGCTGTACATAAATTTGATTTTCAAGTTAGATAACTGATACTATCTAGTTAAATATCATAACTTCCGTCATCCATAATATATACGGACACAACTGCATTTGGTTTTCATTATGGAATGGTAAACCACTAAGAACCACGAGATAATGACTGGAGCCCTCATCCTAATTTGGGAGCTCGTAGGGGCGTTCCTTTAAACTCCACACAACACGGTATCTACTAATATATTGTGATCTGTGGTCTATTCATTATATTATGTAACTATCATTTACTACCATTGATGGCATCTGTATGGCTTTCAATATGGCTGGACTAAACGAAGTTTCACCAGCATTTTGTAAATTTATTTGAAAGTCATTGTTGAGATTTGGGTTCCCGGAAATTATTAAATTGCTTTATAAAAATTATTAATTATTGTACAATCGTTCAGCGTACACAAGTTCTCGATGGTTCCCCAATTAATATCATGCTTATATTATACCAATAATAATGAATCTAGTATTATTTTACTGCCTTCGTCAATTGATTGGTAGGCTACTTCGATTCCTATGTCCCCAAACTTCCAATCAAAACGCTAACAGATTAAATGAGTGATTACCAGTACGAACGTTATTTACAGTCACGACTCACATTCTTATGTAGATAAATTACAAGATCACAACGGATAGTTAACAGCAGTCCTCAATAGGTACACCGCTAGAACATTCGTGATACAAATCTGAGTAATTACTGTACGGTTTACTGTCATTAATGGATTGACAAAAGACTTTCCAATCGTTAATGAATTGAATGAAAGCTTACAATTAAGATAATACGAAAATGCCATGAACCAATTACTTAGTAAATACGCAGAAAATATGTAGGTTAATTTCCGTAAAAATTGTTTCCCGACTCTTATAATCGCCTTTTCACGTTTCTTCTTAACAAGTTAAAGAAAAAAATTACTTTGATAGTTTTTTTTAACTATTTGTATCTCTTTATGTCCACTTAAGATATGATAGTGGATTGAAAAGATTTGTTGAAATCAATTCCACATCACATATGTCAACTATTATCGATGCAATACAACTACATGGACGATCACGTAACTATTCTACAAAATCGTATGCAGCACAAACAACAAATTCAGCTAAATGTCCTCTACATGCAAAATAAAAACTTTTAAAGTAAAAATCAAATTAATTTATAAAAAGTGCATTCCTTTACATTACATCACTTGTTTCGGTCACTATCTCGTAAATAAATACATGTTATTGCACTGCCAAATAAACCAAACAAACAGACAAACACGTAACGTTGAAGAAATACAAATAAATAACAAATATGAAGTGTTTCAGCTTTATTTAGATTTATTTTTCTTTATGTCAATATTTTTCCTCAGTAAAATATTGAAGCAATCAGAATTGTTGTCTGTAAATTTAAAATGTAATTTTGTTTAATTATAGAATGAAAATTCATGGATTATAATCATGAATATTAAGTTAACATGATGCCTCCGAGTAGCTTGAAGAAAACGTTTAGCAATATTCATTCATATAATGTAGTTGTAAACATAAATTGGATGCTGATTGAAGTTAGTTTCAGTCTCTAAATGATCATGGATTAAACTTCACTTCATTAATTTACCATAAATATCATTGAACACATGTGAAAAAGGTCAAGTTTAAAACAGTCGGTTAAAAAGCATAAGTAGGATCTTTACTTGATTAAGGATTGTTTGTCTACTTTTTCGACCGTCAGTTCCTTCTTTAAAAAAGGAACTAAACTAGGAATGGTGACATTCAAATTTATATCATCATTATTATCTTATACTAAACGTGTCTGGTCCCGATGTTTTTGACTGGATTTCTGTACATTTTCAAGCTGATCTAATAATTAATTACTGCACGTAAAATCTATTAGTCGTACAACCACTTTGATGACACTTGATTCAGTATCATTGTTTTCAAAAATACTATCTAACTACAACTGATTTTCGTCATACACAACAGCAAAAAGTCCACATAAACAGATGCAAAACAATAGTAACTAAATTATATACCGAAATAACAGAAGTCTATTCTTTACTGATGATAGCACCATGAACCTTTTATTGGAAATTACTAAAAACTGACAATTTATCCATAGAAATATGAAAAGTCAGGATTTCCTTTGAAAATATGACAAATCCGAAAATAAGATTGTCATATATATCATGAACCATCATTTCTTGTGATGGTCATTTCCCACATTGATGGTAGGTGTTAAAGATAATCTGCAAAATCAGCGTTTACTACTGCACTTGACTTGAAATAATTTTGTGAAATTCCCCCGGATGAACTAACTCCGAAATCGCGTTTACAAAACCTTAATTTATAAGATTAGTATAAGCAATTCCGTAAAACACAATAACTGCTCCTGACCTGATGAAGCGGGAATTAAACTCTTATCACGAATTAGTAAACAATTTCTACTTTGTTAAGTCTCAAATACTTTTTATCAATATTCACTGTTTTATGGATGATTGTGTAACCCTATTTTAGATGCAGTTTTATGCTTAAACGATTGTGTAATGACAGGATTCTAAATTATTATTCATTAAAAAGTTTACCAGCTTTCATAAATCATAACTGAAAAGCTTCAAAATACAATTCTCGTTACCTTTTTTCAGATATATTACTGAACTCAGATCGCTTACAAATTCACAAGTGTTCACTAGTCAAGCTTAAAATACCTTGACATAAACATGGTGTGCAAGCTTAAAACGGCTTGACTAGGTAGCTATGGGAACCAAGTTACATCTCTTTCTAAACGTTTTCGTTAAAACAACCGAACATAACCATCTAATAAGTTGGTCCACTACAGTTGAATTACAACATGCAAAATGAAATCTTACAATTGGCCCATAAATACTAACTACGCTACTTGTTTACAAGTTTTTTTTAATGAAAATCACATAATTTACACTGAGAAATAAAGAATTTAATCGATTTACCGGTATACATGTGTAGAAATATATTTCAAAGAACAGACAAAAATACTGGCAAACACTAACAGTAGAGTAAGGTACAATTTGTGTCATTTTTGAAAGCTGAAGAAAAAAAGAGGAGAAAGGGGAATCGAGGACAACTGATAAGCTATTCGACATAATGCTCATATGAATTTCAAAACAATTGCATTGATCAGTAAGAACGATTATGAAACTAAGACAGAGATAACTACAGCAAATTAAACGAGATTTTAAAAATTTATTCGGTGTAAAGGTTCAGCATGGTTTGTAAAGTTCACTGAACAGAAAGTATATGATACATTAAAGCGTGAAAAGATATGCAGATTTGATGTACTTAGTAATGTTAGATGTCAATGCAAAATTTCGGCAGTATTTCATTTATTGTAATACTATTCCAATCTGTAAAATGATTTTAATAGAATAAAAAAATAATCAGTACATTTAACAAATAAAACAAATACAATAAATAAAGTTTTGAAAAAAAAATATATCAAACTAAGGTAAATGTGATATGGGGAAAAATTAGGCTGAACAACTGGGTCTTAAATGAATCGAGAATGAGTGACCTGAAAATATGATTTCCACAAAAGACATCTAATCATATTTATTTGTCAGCTAATACTTGTGTATACATATGTGGTTTTATTCAACAAAAGATACATATTCTGATAATTCCGGTAAACTGAATTGAAATGAGAAAACACTCAAGTTCTTGACCCGAACTTAGTACTAGATTTAATAGGTTTTCAGAATAAATGAAATCAGATCAAAAATATTTGTGTGGTATATATATGCATATATAGTTTTTAGTAGTGGAGCAATTGTGAAAATGTGGTGTGGGTTACTTATGTCCATACAAGTAGTATATAACGGTGGTCAGGCATAGAATGTATTTCAGCAGGAGATCGATAAGAAAAGAACGGAAACGGTACGCGAGTGGTGTGAAAATGCATGAGCAATGAAATCTGAGACAATGGACTGATATTTGCAAAAGGAATAGTGACGTTTGAGACGATGGGTTGATATTTTGCAAATTAACAATTTACTATATGGTTCTCAGATTTTATTCAGATGTTCTGTCATTTTGTGCTCAAATACATTCGAACGTCCCCACTCGTGTTTTTGTTCACTACAAAAATACCTATTACACCTAATTGAAAATTTATTTCCAACTATTTAGGCCTTTAGACATTTCGAGTTATAAGGCCTCTTTTCGAACATTAGTGAAGGTCAAACTCAACAAGTTATGTAATCATGTTAATTACAAGGTGATATAATAAGCTCAATGTAAATATCTACTACACCTTCGAACTTATTTAATTAAAATCTTAATTTATATCACTTCACTCAAAACAATAATCCATGGCCGAAATTTTGATATCGTTATTGATAATTATTTCTAATCCTACGCTACTTATTCTTCTCGTGATTTTATCTAACCTCAAACCTGATTCCAGTGTGGATCAAATACTAGTCATTTCTACCCTTACAGACATTAACAGATACGAACAGTTTTAAAAGTTGTATTAACCCTTAAACCATTTTGCTGGAATATCAGAATTAGAATGACAACTGTACAATCTGTTAGGAATTCGATGTACAAAATATTCTTCATTCATACATCATACACGAATGAATACTTTGAAATAAATGTACTTTCCGTTATTTGACCTTTACGAAACGTATGTATTAGTTTTAAGCTGTAGCAAATCTTCCAATCACTTAAGTATTCAACACATATAATCACTTTAATTTGTACAGCAAAGCAAGATATTAGCACAAAACAAGCATAGAGTGTCGTCTCGCATGAGATAGGTGTGAAATGTACATCGACATACAATGATATCACACAAGTAAGAGAGTACCTAAATTTTTAAGTATGAATCTGCTGAATGCCTGAAGATTATTTATATAGAAATCTATAATATTGTGATTAACATAGAATTCAAAACACTTCAATCAGAACTCAGTGTGGTATTATACATGAAATTAATTGAACCTTTGTGGAAAGATTACAAATGAATGAAAACCGTTTCTTCTGTAGGATGTAAAGTTTATCTTGGTTTAAACCATTGTTTTTGAGGAGAGAATGAAGTTTTATCTCAGATGGTTAATAAAATTTATTAAAACAAGGAGAGAGAATGGGTTGTGTTATCTTTGTTAAAGGACGTGCGATATTTACCAGATTAGATTACCATTACTCTGTCATTAACAGTTTTTATAATATTACACCAAAAATAAACTGTTAATAATGTACATAACGTCAATAAACTTTAACGATACACGAGATTCAAGAATTAAGGAGAGAGAAGGAATGAATAAAACTTTATCACGGTGGTCTATTTTGAGGTATACAATCTAAAATCTCTATAAAATTATTAAGGTTGTTGAAGTAACCTTCACGATGAACATTCAGAGGTCTCACACATTGTTTACATGAAGCAAAAGGAAGTGCTTCAAATACGAATCAATTGAATAGAAAAAACAACAGAAAATATTAAAAAATTAACAGACCTCAGAGGGCTTGGTGAACGGACAACGCCAGTTATACAAATAATAATGCAGATCACCGTCTCCAATGCCAAATTTTAACTCTTCCAGGAACTTTCCATTTTCCATTAGATCCAAGGCATTGAATACGTCAAACTTTAACTGTAAATTATACGATTATTGTTACACCATAGTGAAAAACATGAAATGTACGAAAAATAAACAAATCTTAGAAAATTTTCAATGAACCGATTGACAACAATAATAAAAAGTTGGAGACGTTATAAAAACTGTTTGGAAACAACTAAAACTGAAAATAGTAAAGGAAAGGCTATAGACTTTTGCAGTATGAAAGGTTGATAATTTTTGTGATAAAAAACATAACAAAACGATCAAAAGGTCAATACATGAAAAAAACTGTCAACTGAGTCACAAAATACATGCTTGTGTACTCAGTATAGACTAATCCTTAGTTGTATGGGGCTCATGGATACTATTTAGCTTTTCAAATTGAAGAAGATAGAATGATGTGTGTAAGATTTACTTATTACAAGTTTCATAAAGTTGATTCCCTTCGAAAGTTGAAATAAAGCAAGAATGAAATTGATGGATGTATGAAGGGTAATAAGTTTGATTATTTTTAATTATTAACATAATTTGAAAAAAATGAACTGTCTAACAATGAATAAAACATCCTAGAACTATCACTTTTATCATTAATAAAAACCTGTTCAAGTTTAGTTTATAACTAAATTTAAATGTAAATCCTTGCTATTTATTGTTGAACAATTCACCTCAAATTGTATTTTACAATCTCTTTTTGCTTTATGTGTGTTAAGCGAGACTATAATCTATGGTGTCAGTTCGTGATGAAAACCCGAAATCTAATTCCTAACATTAATCATCAACTGTAAATCATAATTCTAATTTCTCACATAGGTTTGTAACCCTCATTTGGTCCTGGTTATTAGGTGGACACTCTCAAGGTCAGTCTAGCGTCGCTCAAAAGTCGTCCGTAAACTATAGTCTTACCGTGTATTACTCATGAGTAGCTTGCATTTCATTGTTTTATCGATAACTGTTAGCGGAATATAAAGCACATTCCGTGTAGGATTATGTTGGAGAGCGCTAATTAGCTATTTCTTATCCAATCAGCGCTAGTTGATATTTGGAGAAGATTAGAATCTTCTCATGCAAAATCTATGAATATACTAACGTTTTTCTTATCGTGATTCCTACTTCTACCTACCTTTTGTTATTTGAAACATAGTTTCGTTCCTATTCAACCGTGTTCTGATTTGGCGACTTGTCGAGTGAAGTAGTGTGCAAGAACAATAAGTAATAGGAGTAGAAGGGTCGTAATAAGAGAAATTATAACAAAAACTAAGTTTTCTTATCTGTTGACACACCTTTTATAAGTTCGGTCATGTTGAACTGGTCACTTTTGTGGTTATCAGTTCTGAGAGTTGACTGTTGTTATAGAGTTTATCATCTTGAATATGAGTTCCTTAAACTAAGATAATAATTAATTTTTGTAAACCCAATTATTTATATATATTCATAAATAAATATTTCAAGAAGCCAAAGTAATCTTTTAACTTTATTCAACTTAGGGTACGCTAATCCGGTTGCCCCCGAATGCCCTGGTACGGCCGACAGTGGGAAGAGTCCGCTCTCCCTCCGAAATGCTCTCATATGACCACGCGTATTCAGCCTCTGCCAGGGAAGTCCTACTCACCGCCTTCTCGTCGCATTACTGTTGTTTACGAAAATGAGAGGACGAAAACCGAATGTCCGGCGCTTTAACCGGACCCAAAACCAATGGTGCACATGGGCTCCAGTATCCTGAGGGAACAAATGGTGTATGAACCAACTGTCGGTCACCGGCTACCATGGGATTGCATCTCCTCACGATGCTCCACTGCCTTGTGGATCAGACCTTCAGGTCAAAGGCTCGTGGTGTGGCCCCCTAAGAAAACCACCTGCTTCAGTCTGGGCACCCGGACAGTATCACAGCTCACACACATATCCAATGAGATCTGTGTGGCGCATATGTATTTGGTGCCTCCTTGTACTGATATCTATGTGTTAAAATAAATAAATAAATAAATACGCTAATCCGGTAAATCATACAAGGTATTCGTAAGCTGTAGTTCAATTATTAAATTCCATTAATTTTAACTAGTAAACTCAAATAAGACAATTATTTCGTATACGCAAAAAACCGTCGTAATCCAATTTATTTAGAGGAAACTACTATAAAATTTATGGTGTACAGAAAGATAATTAATGGATGTAGCCAGTGATGACTATCGGTAGGGAATTGGTTGTGAAACTAAAAAATTATTTGAATAAGAAATCACCATCATTTTAACATCAAAACATGTTGATCCAGCCACCTGAGTTTATCTTTATATTTTCTTTACAGCTTCCTGAAGCATTAAAGAGGGGAAATATTTCTTTAACAAAACTTATCATCCTCAATTTTAATTAATATAAATGTATACCAGACATATATTTACATATCTAACAAGAATATATATGAAGACTTACTTGTTTGGCTGAAATCAACATATCTTGAATTAATGCAGGCCATGGTGTTACCGTAGAAACATTGTAAAATGAGTAGGCCGCGCGAAGGCTATTGTGTTGTTTGCTTTTCATGACTGAACTGGGAAGGACATAGAACGAACAGAAGTCTGTGATTTGCCCATCTCCATTCTAAAATTAAGTGAAATGGAAAACTAAAACAATGAACATAATCGGTGTCGGATATATGCGTTTCGGTTTTTCGAAATTGCAGAATGGGGTTAAATCCTCTCACCAATAAAATTAACGTTTATAGGTACCAATGAAGGATACATTCGGATGTTGTATTGATAAGTGCACAGCTTTCTATAGATAAACTAACAAAAGATCCACATTCTGCAAAAAGGTATATCATAGCGAATTATTTGCTAATTTGTATATGATGAAATTAAAAGGCATTATCACATAGTATTGGATTGATAATGCCTGTCATTTTAATTCTTCTATCACTAGTGCTTATTAACTAATATTACGCAATATGATTGAACGTGTAGTGGGTGAGAACCCATGAAATAAAAAGCAATTCATGTTATAGTGCTACAATTTGTTCTTGATTTACTTTAAATCATAAATGGAACCAAATTATAAATGATCACATAGTTGAAAGTAAAAAGCAAAATAGAAAAAAAAAACATAACATTACACAAATATGAAATAATACTAGATATTCACCTCAACTATGAAAGAATACACAACATCATCTCGAGGAACAAAGAAATGCTGAAATTCTTCTTTTGTAAAAATTGGATGAATATTAAACTTTTCCAAGTACTAAAGCAGTGGACAATCAACAAGAAGAAAAATATTTTTGAGGAAAAGAAACAGAAAACAAAATATAATAACACTGAATTATAGGAATTTCTTCTAAAAATGGCTACATTTGAACAGTACGAACTTTTCCTATCATCTTATTTTAGAGCCTCATTATTGCGTACACCTTTCTGTATCAGTTGCTAAAATATCTGTATGTAGGGAACCAGCGAATTCATAATCTAGATGTTAAGTGAGTAAACTATTAAGACGGGATTTACCAACACTACACACTACAGAGCTAAACAATAACAATTACTCCTAGTTAATAATGAACACGAAATTTTTGTGAAACATTAGGCTATACTACTTTGCCGTTGGAAAATACACCAATTAATGAAGGAGGTTTTCTAACAGTCACCATTTTAAATTTTTAAACCACATGGGTACTTTTTAAATCCGACACACTAAACTCGTAACTTGAATGGGGTTAATTTTCAAGGAAAACTTAAAAAGGGTGTAAATCACCACCCACTGTCTTGTATTATCGTCATTTGAAGCGAGAAATGGACCTTCGATGTTTTAGTAGTTTGGAGGCAAGGTCAAGATTTATTGAAAGTATAGAAAAAATTTGGCTGAAGACTGTTGCGTTGAGTTTACTCATATGTACCTATAGATGTGTTACAACATGTACTTTCGGTGTCAAAGATGTAGCTATCGCCACAAAATGCACAATACTTCGTAGTTATCCCATTTTTCTACAATACTACATATACTACCTCTTAAATACAACTCTATACTTGCAAGATATGATGTGTATTCAGAAAATAGTCCTATATTAAAAAAAGATATGACTTTTGCTGATGCATTTTGCTTACATTTTATGCTTCAAACTACTAGCAGTTTTATGATAGATATTTAATCGGAATAATTGATGAGCTATGTCTTTTGAAATAATAAACTCTTATTTTATTAAGTGTTGCTGTTACAGAAATCTGGTCATTTTCAGAATACAGATGTAATTAATAACAAATTCACCTCAGATAATAAAGGCCACGCTTTGGGAACATCTTTTTTTGTCATTTGACGAAAACCTTTGACAAGAGGAGCTTCAGGTAATCTGTATAGTTTAATTGTTCGTTGAAGAGTCATGTTGTGAGTAAGATGTGAAAATCCACATTCAAGAAGTTTACGTGGATTGAGAGGACGATGCCAATATCTAGGAAAGGTAGAAAAAACTACCTACTCAATATAACTATCAGCAAAAATCTTAACTCGTTAAACCGACAAAAAATAAAGAGCCATATCAGGCAAGCAATATAACTTCGATAAATTACAATCAATGACTGGATAACAGTGACAATAACAAAAATTTTAATAAGTTTTAAAAAATTATAGACCAGTTTTAATAGTGCAAATAAATAAATGATGTTTTTAGCTAACCAAGTGAGATGATGATGGTAATTTTTTTATCAGAATCATTAAGTTAACACCACTATAGGTGATCTTAACACAGAAGCAAAATAACCGTTAGCAGTCTAGATATATCTCAACTTTATTGGGGAAACCCACTGTTTAGTGTAAAGCATAATGCTTATTATACATCGAAATTTCTATAACTTCAAAGATTTATTCAATACATAACCATGAAATTAGGGCACAAATTTACTGGAGACAAAATCGTTTTTAATTAATTTCCTTATTGGTCAGTGAACTACACCTCTGGGCAGTTTAAATTCTGAAAAATATGTGAATAGATCTTTTACATCAAAACTATATACTGACTACGATTAAATGCAACAACACATTCATTTAGAACAAAACGGATATTTGGCACGCTACTATCTTCTTTATCGACCAATCAACCTAAAGTTTACTTGTATGAAAATACCTTCGGATAAATTAAAATTTGAAGACAATGAAACTGTAAAACATACCGACATTTGCTGACTGGTTTTGGAAGTAAAGTTCCACTCGTAAACAAAGCCTGAAATCTCCCACGTAGATGAACACGACGAGTTACTTCTCGAATAAGTACAGGGGCCATACGTTTAGAACGTAATTTTTTATGGACACAAAGATAGTTGACTTCAACTAACTGTTTTGCTCTGAGGTAGAAATTAAATATAAAAACGTAAGTATAGTTTCCCGGATGCCTTAGTCATTTATATATGGAGCTGTGGTTGGCTCATTCAATAAAATTTGCGGACGTAAAAGAAAAAATCCAAAAACACAAAACACCATAACTTAAGAACCCAAAGCACTGGACGATTTCGACAAAAAATCCTTGCTGTAGGATCATCTTAGAATCAATTTGTATGGAATAAACAAGCTTTATTTAACTCAAAGATATTCATTATTGGCAAACATAAAACTAGGCGACAGACAAAACAATATAGAACTATGCAAAATTATTAAGGTTGTCGGTTTTTGCAACAGCACGAAAAGAGGAAAATAATTAGGCTGAAACAATAGTAGAATAAACAAGATATGGAATTAAAAGAGGAAAATAGATGTTACGTTAGAAAAATATAAAGATTCAATCAATCCGCATCGTTGTGTCAGGTTCCGAATCATATCACTTATAGTCTTTACCTACTAATTCTTTCCATCCTTCCAATACGAGTCAAACCAATAAGTCAATAGCTTTATGAACTAGTGCATGTTTTAGGCTGGCTACTCAGAACAAAAAGGCAACTTAATATTTTATACAGTTTTTTGACTTTCAGTAATAGTTTATATAATGCTAACTGATAGCGAGGTCAAGTAATAAATAAATGATACACATCCTGAACCATTAACTAGAACCAATCAAGCGAACATAAACTAATGTCCAACTATTTCACTTCACCTATGTTAGGATAAGAGATGTTAGGTACATCGCTCAGATTTGATCACAATGGCGTAGGTGTATACACTCTCTGTCTTCCCTTAAACTATGAGATTAAAATTGCTCTATATCTTTCTTTCTACCAACCAATTCTTTCTTTTATATAATATCACTATTGAATTAACTACTTCTATAAATTCGGTGTTCATCTTGTGCTAATGAGGTATGGCAACTTGGACCGATGTATATATGTGCCTAGTCCTAGGTTGTAACTGACTTATTGAGGTGCATGCTTTGTGTAGATATAAAAAATTCAAAAAAGGTGGATGAGCATCTTACTTATCATATATCTGTAGATGGCATGGAATAGCTGCTATAAATCCAACCAGTTTTTTACTTTTAGTTACACGAAGTCCAACATGCCAATCTTTATGCCAACCAGGTGACCTTAGGATCCTAAACGAAGATAAATTGTATATAAAGACATTTTTAATGACATTAATACCAAATAATAGAAGTTAGTGTACTATGAGAATAAAGTTCACATGAAATATGAATTATAATTATTTACAGGACCTAGGTGACTACAACTGGGACAGCCGCTAGACAGATATTATAATGTACTAGTCAGAACTTAAACATCGCGTGAACATACAACTTGAACGTGTTTTGAAAAGAAACAGTAGTATATTGACTGGAAAAAACGATGAAATCTAAAATATAACTAATTACTTAACAGAAACTGGAGATAAATACTATGTAACAATAAATAGGGCTGGTTTAATTTTCGCCGTTAATCAAGCATCAGCCAGTATAATGATCGGCCACAAAAAATGGGCAGACAACTAAACAAGAACAACGTAGAACCTGGTATGAAATGATATTCAAAAGATTTACGCAGTACACGGAAAATAAAAGCCAGAAATTAATAAGAACAATTGAAAAAAATTAATATTGAGTCGAGAATGAGAGTAGAATAGTACAAATAATGCCATTGTGACGGGTTTTAAGCTGTATGACGATCACTACGTATCGCAAAGAATGGATGGGTTTAGATCTAATGAACATATTCCCGAATTTAACAGCGCACCTTGTTACGAAGCACCAGAATAAAATGAAACAACTGTCCATTACTGTCTTACTTAAAATGATTCTATAGCTGTCATGTTCCATGGCCTACTTATTTTGTTTACCCAGTTTGAAGCACATTGTGTGAGGGCTAGTAGTAACACCCGGCTGCAAAGCCAGTGGGGTCGGGTTTGAACCTGGGATCTACTGATTGAAAGTTGAGTGCTTTAATCACTAAACTTCACTTCGCATACTCTGCAGGGAGTATTACTAACCCTCACCAAAACTGTCTGCATGTACGTAAACCTATAATTGATAAAGAAGTTATATTAAATGACCCAATAATGGGCGAAATAGACTTTGGTTACACTTACCATTGTAAGAAATGCTTGGAATAATCAAATCGGAATAGATGATCATCGTCTTCAACATAATTTTCATACAGAAGATCATACAATTCTTGTAGCTATAAGTGTTAGCAAAATGAAAAACCAGGTAAATAAAATGTCATGACGTACACCAAAACCAATCCATACTTTTCTTTGTAGTAAGTCATATATTATAGTAACCAGCCACAAGCATGTATTCAAGTCCGTAATATAAATGGGTGTAAATAACTGAGAACCTAAATAATAAGTATACTGGTTTAGTGCGCAACATTTGTTATTAGAAAAGAAAGGTGAAAGGAAAAAGGGAAAATCTTGGAATGGTTACAAACATCTGCAACCATATTAGCTTTACAAGCTATCACAAATATCGAAGCTGACCAAATTTTCAATTTTCAGGACCAACATAAAATATAGGGACAGAGATTAATGATAAGCTAACTACTCAGTCTCAAGGTGGTGTAATTAAACAGAAGGAATACTTGGGAAATATTGTAAACTGTTATCAGTCAATTTCTGCCTTCAAGAATCATAACTAAGGAACTCTTATATTTGTACCAAGACGATAGTGATCAATAAGAATTGTATTTACGTAAACTAAAATGTTACTCGTAACTAATTAAAATTTCATACTTCAAAGAATAGCAGATAATAACATTAAAATTGTTCAGAAAGTTGTCGAGAATGAAAACCTACCTCAGTTTCATCATCCAAAGAAACTTCACACCAATAAAATCCTTCAGGTAATGTATAAGGCTGTGAGCGAATATCTTCATGTTTTGAATCTGGTTCAATTGGACCATTGTCAGTAATCTCTTCAGCTGAAAGGTAAAGCATAGGTTAGCCTAACACAACAAACTGTAGTTGTGCTTTCCACCGGTAAATCTTTTACTGATATTTCGAGCACTATCTATAATCCAATCTTTACCGATAAAATACTATTTCAATAATTGTACCTGCCATCAACACCTTACTTCACCTTCGCAATAAAATAGCTCTAATATCAAAGTAAAATCGCATTAATAAACGTAGTCCAAGATAACTCAAATAATAAAGACTTTGGGATACAATCATCTAACGTGGTAGGTAAAGAAACAGTATGATGAAAAAGTCACTGAGTTGTAAAAGACAGCTGGAACTTACGGTGAGTGAATGTAAATCCATTACTAATAACCGAGAACAGTCGTAATTTAGCAAATTTATTCATACTGTTTTGAAGGCTTATGAGAAGCGCCTAATAAGTTTTTATGAGGTATACGGTGTTCTTTTGATAGTTAATAAATAATAATGATAATAATAATAATCACTGGTTAACATATATAGTATAAGCATACTTCATGTCCTAAATGTCAGTTTGCAGATAGATTGTCTGAAAAAATGAATTATTTGAGTTGATTACAATTCGCATCCTTGTCGAATATATTCAGTCAGTCAGCTAAGACCGTTGCTGCTATCTTGACATGGTGGTCGAGCTTGACTATTGTGATGAACCGATCAAGCTGTACTGGCTAAAACAATCGTCCCTCAAGGTCCTACCATGTCATACGGTCGGTTGAAGAACGGTAAGACTAAAAGCAACAAATCCAAGGTCCGAGAGCAAAGTCGTACTGCTGACTGTACAGAGGTGTGACGGTAGTAAGGTGCTTCCCTCAGTCAACCAGTATAACAGCGATGCTGCGTTCCCACAAAGGAAGGGTGAGGTTATAAAAGGTTGGCTCTAAAAATAAACACTTCGCTCTATCCCACATATATGTCTCCAACGGTAAGGTCCCAACAACTACGGAGCTAACACAAAAAGGTCGTGTGTGACCGGCATCAAGCAGTTGGCCCTTGGGCACTGCGGTCACGCTCTCAGGTCACTAGGACCAACCCAAACCCAATTTCCTTTTTAGGTACTTCCAGAAGAACCCTTCCACAGTGTGGGAAACCTGGAAGTGATAAACGCCCTCATACTTCTAACAGCACTCAAAACCACTGTCGAATATATTAGGTCATTGGTATTACCATCTCTGATGCCCCTTAACCTTCAGATGTCAACCGACAGGTCAATAAAAACAGTTACCTTAGATTAACACCCTCATTCAGAATGCATTTACTATATATGACAGCGGTACGATATGATCTTACAAATATGTCCCATCCTTAACTACCAAAATGTTAAGACAGCGTTTATATAAACTGGCGATAAGTATACAACACGCATTCCGCAAATTAGTGAGTAAACCACAGTTTGTCTGACCAGACATGGAGTTTTCTAAATAACTACTAAGTTGAAACCAACCATTTTATATCTAGTATTTATGATCCGAATGTGGGTTATTTTTACAAAACTATTCGTTGTGAATTGTCCATAGTAATAAATGCGATGTAATATCTAAGTTTGTACATTGGGTTGTAGGTTAACCCTATTTGTTTAAAATGTGATCATTGAAGACAAATTAGAGGTAATATTTTAATAGCTGGAAGTTATTATTTATTTGAACACATAAATATTGGTACAACAGGGCACCAAACATATATGTGCCACACAAAATAATGAGAACGGGAAGAAAAAAAGAACAATAACGACCAGACTAGTGCAAGGCAGTGTTTATTATTATTATTAATTATTATCATTATTAATTTTATAATAATAATAATAATATTAATGGGGGAAACAGAAAGGTACAACCAGAAGAAATCTTTCACTTAAGGAAGATACAAACACTTTTTATGAAGAAATTGCCCCCAAACGCCCTGGTACGGCCGACAGTGGGGAGAGTCCGCTCTCCCTCTCGAAATACTCTCACATGACCACGTGTATATAGCCTCTGCCAGGGAAGTCCTACTCACTGCCTTCTCGTGGTGGGGGGTGTTCTTTACGAAAATGAGAGGATCCCAAACCAATGTAGCATATGGGCTCCAGTATCCTGAAGGAACAAATGGTGTATGAACCAACTGTCGGTCACCGGCTACCATGGGATTGCATCTCCTCACGATGCTCCACTGCCTTGTGGGTCAGACCTTTAGGTCGAAGGCTCGGGGTGTGGCCTCCTAAGAAAACCACCTGCTTCGGTTTGGGCACCCGGGCAGTATCACAGCCCTCACACATTTCAAATGAGATCTGTGTGGCGCATATGTATTTGGTGCCTCCTTGTACCAATATCTGTGTTAAAATAAATAAAATAAAATATGAAGAAAGCAAAAGGTTACAGAAGGATCTCCACTGGCTTCTATTCTGAGCCATATCTGATAATGTCTCTAGCCACTGTGTTGCACCATCTCTCGGACCCCAGCCACGGAGTCGTGAAGGACCAATACAAGCCAGCCCTTTGCAGCTTTTTTTCATACCACGACACCATGTCATACACTGACCACCTCTCTTCTTTTTTCAACCAGTCCCCAAAGTCGGCAAATAATGCACGACTTGGAATTCTCTGGGACGATATTCGTAGAACATGTCCAAGCCACTGAAGTCGATGTTTCAAGATGGTGACACCAATTGGATTATCATCTCTGTGCCCGGACACACGATGCCGAACCTCTGCATTACTAACATGGTGTTGCCACTGGATGCCAGCAATCCTTCGGAGACAACGATTATCAAACACAGAGTCTTCTAACATCCTTAACTCGGAGAGGCCAGGTTTCACAAGCATAGAGCAAAACTGCTCTCACCGACGCGTTATAGACCCGATCTTTTACAGCCAGACTGACATCACGAAGGTGCCGAAGATGGCCCAGATTGGCATGAGCCGCTCTGGCTTTCACTATACGTGCATTGATCTCATCACTCACGCCACCACCAGCACTTATGCAGCTACCTAGATACACGAACTTCTCGACTACTTCTATCTGCTCACCATCCAGGGTGAGTACAGGATTAGAATCCTGCCAGTTTTGTAAAAGTACTTTGCACTTCGAAGGTGAATTGATTGCCAACTGATTAAGTGCGGATTGCATGGCTTGGACATTATCGCACAGTAAGACAATATCATCCGCATACTCGAGGTCGAGAAGTCCAGGCAACAGATCCACATCACCATTACTTAGATCCATCAGAGCTGTTTGCAGAATGTCATCGATGGCAAAGTTAAAGAGGGATGGTGAGATTGGGTAACCCTGTCTGACTCCACTGCTTGAATGGAATAATGGAGAAAGGTGGTTGTATGCACTCACTCTACCTGAGGTGTTTGTATATAGGGCCTTTAAAATGTTAATAAACTTCTCAGGCACTCCTCTTCAACAATCCCAGAGAACAGCCCTGTCCAACGGCCCCCAAATGCCCTGGTACGACCGACAGTGGGAAGAGTCCGCTCTCCCTCTCGAAATGCTCTCACATGACCACGCGTATACAGCCTCTGCCAGGGAAGTCCTACTCACTGCCTTCTCGTCGCATTACTGTTGTTTACGAAAATGAGAGGACGAAAACCGAATCGAAGGCAACCCTGATGTCAAGAAACACTACGATTGTTAGCCTTTGATAAGTATGACGGTGTTCTAACATTTGGCGAAGGGTGAAGATATGATCAATACATCCTTGACCAGAACGAAAACCAGCCTGCTTCTCGCGAGTCAATCCTTCTCGGGTTTTGAACAACCTACGAAGTATGACGGAAACCAATAGCTTGGATGCAATCGGAAGTGGACTTATCCCCCGATAGTTGTTACAGGAACGATGTGAACCCTTTTTAAAGATAGGGACAACTATCGACTCATTTCATGATGTTGGTAGAAATCCATGCCCCCAAATGCCTTGGTATGGCCGAGACTGAGGTGGGCCCGCCCACCCTCTCGAAATGCTCTCACATGACCACGCGTATACAGCCTCTGCCAGGGAAGTCCTACTCACTGCCTTCTCGTCGCATTACTGTTGTTTACGAAAATGAGAGGACGAAAACCGAATGTCCGGCGCTTTAACCGGATCCAAAACCAATGGTGCACATGGGCTCCAGTATCCTGAGGGAACAAATGGTGTATGAACCAACTGTCGGTCACCGGCTACTATGGGATTGCATCTCCTCACGATGCTCCACTGCCTTGTGGGTCAGACCTTTAGGTCAAAGGCTCGTAGTGTGGCCCCCTAAGAAAACTACCTGCTTCGGTTTGGGCACCCGGGCAGTATCACAGCCCACACACAAATAGAATGAAAATGACGATATTTACTGAAAATTCTATTCACGCTTCGATTAACAGCTGGAAGTTGAGTGGCTACATCTGAGTACGCCTTATATACATTCTTGAATTGTTTCTATTATTCAAAACTACAACTAAAAACCGGAACATAAGTTTTGTGGTAATATTTTACATAGACGTCATTGTTATTAGTTTCATATTCAGCATTGTGATGTTCTGAAAGTTTATTAATAGTAGTAGTTTTCATTCATTTAAACGATCTACCTCATATATGCGTAAAGTTACACAACTAGATCAAATTATCTTAGAACATCGAAAAAGTAAAATACTTATCAATAAAGTAGTGAAAAATATCACTTACTGAGGTCAGGAACTGGCTGTGTCCTCCAGAATCGATAGTCATTTTTAGACTTCTTTTCTGTCACACCACTAGAACTACCAGACCCAGAGACCAACATGACGTTAGTGAGTTGCTTTAAGAGTTTCTCATTAATCCCGTTTGGGAATTGTCCAGATGACAAAGATTTATCAGCATTAGGAAGTGAGTTAGCACTATCCGACACATCAGTTGTATTAGCTGATTTTTTCATTTTGCTTTTTGAATACTGTAATGAAAACATAGACATAAATTGTTTAAGGAAAGGTGGGCCCACGTCATTTCAATCGATTTTGAACCATATTATTCAACATCTTCAACTACTGGTCATGATAATCGCGCGGATCTTAGCCAAACAGTTTGGGTAACAAATTTCCAACGAAAAGTGATATAAATTATGAGACTTTTGAGTGCAAACTAGCAAATGATAAAATATCAAATGAGTTTGTAAGTAATAAGTAACCTTTACCACTATCATATGGTATACGCTGAAATGATGAGTGGCACTAATCAGTCGACACAAATTCTTCAAGTCGTACTTTCAGCCATGACTGAATATAAGATTCACCAGTCAGATGAAGACAAGTATGGAATTTTTAACCCGCGTGTTGGGTAAACTATAAGTAACAATTCACTGTTAGTTCTTTATAAATGCTTTTATTGTAAGAACTTATCTACGAAGTACTACGAAAGCATGTTTTCACGCAAAGGGACACTTAACAAGTTAAAGGAATACTATGAGACTTGCGAATTTGTAATTTTCTGTTTTTCTTAGGATACCTCGGATGAATACAGGCACTGCAAGCCCCCGTGTCTAACATAATAGAATCGGCTGAATATTCCGAGAGCTAAGATGTTTTAGATGTACGCTATATATTTATTTCTGTTCCCTTCTAATAAAACCTTGGTCAGATGTCTTCTCAAATGCTCGAAATAAGACTTATAGACAAATATAAGCTGACTTGAGTGCCACTAAGGGTCAGTATCTTGGAGCTTATTTGACTGAGAAAAAATTCTAATGAAAAATAGCGACACCACATAACGAAATGATGGTGTCTAAAAGAACAATCACGGGGCAGAATGTTGAGCTTCCTTTAGACCGAAGTGAATTCTTGAAAAAAATACATGATATCGTGCAGTCCTTCATTTCTATTTTAAAAGCACGAAATCAGTTTGCCTTGAATAGCTTTTCATTGCCAAAATTAATACTCACATAGATACCTAAGTCCTACTTTAGAAAATTAAGTATGTAATCGCCTTTTTATCGCTGCCCGATCCCATTTTGGAGAACTTTGGGTAAATTTTTGGGTTTTCATATGAGTTTTGGAAAATTTGGGGAAAAACCCCCAAGTGTTATTGGTAATCCCCTGCTACTAGACACGGAAGCCTGTTAAGCGAAAGCTTCTATTCCGTCCACGACCATTTGAACCTGACGGGTTACATCCACGACTGCTGTCATCTCTTGCGGACATTATTTCAAAACCGCTCGCGACACTCTTTAACATGTCCCTTTCACTCGCTCAACTACCTAGGGATTGGAAAGATGCTATTGTCAGTCCTATATTTAAGGATGGTCAGAGACAGATCGTATCTAACTACCGGCCTGTCAGTTTGACTAGCATTGTCGTTAAGTTACTTGAAAAGATAATTCGGGTTAGGTTGCTAAGCCACATAGATTCACATAATCTGTTAGCTCCTGAGCAACATGGATTTCGTGATAAGCGTTCATGCTTGACTAACTTACTTATTGCGAGAGAGGGTTGGACAGCAGCCTTAGATAAAGGTCTGTCTGTCGATGTTATATTCATAGATTTTAGCAAAGCATTTGACAAGGTTTCACACTTAGGTCTTATGCAGAAGCTCACAAGCTTCGGAATAATAGGTGTTGTACAGGAGTGGATAAGAAACTTCTTATGTGACCGCAGACAGAGAGTGAGGGTCAATGGGACGCTATCCGATTGGAAGCCGGTCAAAAGTGGTGTACCCCAAGGCACCATATTAGGCCCTCTGCTATTCCTTCTCTACGTAAATGAATTACCGCTGTTGCTTAGGTCGTCGACATTATTATTTGCGGATGATGTCAAAATATGGAGAGCAATAAGAGGTGAGGCTGATCATCTGGATCTTCAAGCTGACTTAGACGATTTAGTTAGATGGGCTCGAGATTGGGGTTTAGAAATCAATTCTAGGAAAAGTGTGCTAATGCACATCAGTCACGGCAATAGTTAACATTATACTATTGATGGTAAACCTCTTCCATGCGTTCAAGAACATAAAGACTTAGGAGTAATAATAACTCATGATTTAAAAACAACTACGCACTGCAACGCAGCCGCTGTCAAAGGTTTTCGTGCGTTGTGGTCACTTCGCCGAGCGTTCAAATCCTTTGACGAGGAAATGTTTCGAATTTTATATCCCACCTATGTAAGACCACATTTAGAGTACTGTATTCAAGCAGCTAGCCCATGTCTGATAAAGGATACTACCTCACTTGAGCGTGTCCAGCGTGTGGGAACGAAATTAGTGAAGAGTCTTTCTAAACTCCCTTACGATGAGCGTTTAAAAAGCCTAAACCTTTTCCCCTTGTCGTATCGTAGGACTCGAGGTGACCTTATACTGGCATTTCGTATCTTTAATTATGATTTGGGTGTTAATATGTCTTATCTGTTTGCTCCCTCCAGCACTAATAATCTCCGAGGTCATAGCAAGAAGGTTCATAAACCACGATCTAATAAACTCAAGATGGGGTTCCGTATTTCTCATCGAGTAGTCAATGATTGGAACGCTTTGCCCGATCAAGTGGTATCAGCCCCATCAGTGAATATTTTCAAAGAGAAACTGGACCTTCACTTGAAGGCAACCTGTCAGGATTAACACAGGTTCACTAACCTACTATCCTTATTACTGAAGACTGATTCTGTGGAAATATAGGGAGAAACACCAGACTTATCCAAACATTTTGAGGATTCCGTGCCACTTGCCCAAAGTTTTCTATTGCGATTTTTCTAGATTTACCCAAAACGGACAAAACTTTCTTCAAAATAGGGCGATTGGGTGTGATTAAGGCAGTTTGATTGTTTTGATGTACACCTGTGCAAACCATTGGTTCTATTTTGTGTGATACTCAGGAGTACCTATTACGCGAATGGCATGAGCCATCGACAAACTTACTTCCTCAGGTGTGTCAGTCATGTTACTGCGGGTCGTAACGCACAGTCACGAAGCCCGCGAAGTCTAAGTGAGACTCTGTAGTAAGAATAGTAAGTCGGTTGACCTGTGTCGTTCCTTGAATTAAGTACTTTCCTAAAGGTCACGTTTCCTAATTAAAAATTCGTCAGTAAAGCTGGTACCAGGTAGGGTGTTCAATGTGCTGTAGAGATAGGTCTGTCAAACTTATTTTATAAATAATTTTTAATATTGTTTGTATTCATTTTGTCAATCTTTCACTGTGTGTACATTTATTATAAAATCATTGTACCTGTTGTTTTAGTAAATGACCTTGATCACTTTTTCCGTTGTGATACTAACATAGCGTGACACTTTTGTGGTCGTTTCCAAAATACACTACTACACACATACCTCTCGCTCTAAATTCACTCGCATTTGTGTTCACTGAAGTCTGAATCAAGTACCATTTATCTTTACAGACGATAATTGGAATATACCATATTTACTACTGAATCCTATCATTGGGTAACCCATCACACTCACAGGAATTATTATTCATCTATAATTGTGGATATTTAACACCAGATCAATTTGGAACACGCACTCTCCTGGTAAACTAAGTAACGTTCCTTATTTCTATTGTGTTTATGACATTTAAGTTATATATTTAAATATTGCTATTTGTTAATAATAACTCTATCATTACCTTTTGCATTTATATATTGTCTGGTCCACCAAAATTATTTGGTGAGCCTAGAGTGTATTAAATTTTTATTGTTTATATTATTACTTGAAACACTAGTTTTTTTCATATCATGTACTTTTCAAATATACTTATCGATATGGAGTGTCCCCCAGTGAAACCCCTCGACTCATTACATGCAGACGATCATATTTTAAGTTCGGTGAATGCTATTACCGAGTTAAAATTATCAACATACAGTGCCAACAACCCTAGAATCTGGTTCGCGCAGGTAGAGGCCTTATTTTTAGCGAGAGGCATACGTTCTCAAGCGACTAAATATGCCCATGTTGTCGGCGCTCTACCCATAGAAATCGCTGCGGAAGTCGGTGATCTGATTGACCATGTACTAGAAACAGATCCTGATGACAAAATCAAAGCAGCAGTAATACAGCGCACGAAAAACGATTACAACTATTAATAACTTCCTGTGACTTGGGAGACAAGAGACCCTCTCAACTTCTTCGCCACATGAAACAACTTGCTGGTCCATACAACCTGGACGAAACTCTCCTAAAACAAATGTAGTTGCAATGATTACCACAAGATTACCCCCGAGAAGGCAGTCAATATTTGTTGGTATCATACGAGGTATGGTAAGAACTCACGTCGTTGCACACAACCGTGCAACTTCTCAACAAACAGCCTAGAAAATCAGGGAAACGGGCCGGCCAGACAGTAATGGCGGCGTCTGCTATTGGCCAACACGCTAGCCGCCTCTTCCACATCAGGGATCATATTTCTGGCTCAGACTTCTTAGTCGATACCGGAGCAGAAATCAGCATAATCCCATTAAAGCTTTCACGACGGCGACACACTACATACAGCAAAGTGTCACTACAGGCGGCCAATCAAACACTTATCAAAACCTACGGAGAACAATCTCTTATTCTAGATCTCGGTCTTCGGCGAAGATTCACTTGGGTCTTTATAGTCGCTCAAATCAAACAACCCATTCTCGGAGCTGACTTCTTAAGTGCCTACAAATTATTAGTAGATATGAATAACAAGATGTTGATTGACCAATGCACACATTTACAAGTGAATGGTACGCTTGCTACTGATTACGAGATTTACGGTGTTCATATAGTAAAACCTGAAAACAAACTTTTCACCGACATTCTGAGGGAATACGAATGTATCACAAAAGTAAATTACCAAACGGAATCCACGGCACTCCACGTACAACATCATATCATCACTACGGGTCCACCCATTTGTGCCAAGGCAAGGACACTTCCACCACACAAGTTGCAGATAGCTAAAAGAGAATTTGAACCTATGATGCAACTCGGGATAATCAGAAAATCGAACAGTTCTTGGGCTTCACCGCTGCACACGGTTCCAAAGAAGGACCAAGATTGGCGACCATGTGAAGACTACCGACGATTAAATAATCAAACTATCCCAGATAGGTACCCCATACTGCATATACACGACTTCTATTTAAATCTACATGGAAAACAAATTTTTCCGAAACTTGACTTAGTAAAAGCCTATCATCCCAATGGCGCCCGAAAACATTAAAAAACAGCTATAATCACACCTTTTGGTCTGTTTCAATATTTCAGGATGCCATTCGGGCTAAAAAAACGCCGCCCAAACGTTCCAGAGGTTCATGGACGAAGTCACTTGAGGATTAGATTTTATATTTGTCTATATCGATGACGTTTTAATTGCCAGTTCAACACTCGAAGAACACATTCAACACTTACAGACTCTTTTCGAACGCTTTAAAAAGCATGGTGTAGTTATCAATCCTTCGAAGTGTACATTCGGAGCCTCAACTATAGAATTTCTGGGACATCACATTGATTCCCAAGGAATTAGACCTCTTGAGGATAAAGTCGAAGCTATAGTCAATTTCCCTGAGCCCAAGTCGATAAAGACATCACGCCGGTTCCTGGGAATGTGCAATTTTTACCGACGTTTTCTCCCTAGTTGCGCGGCCATCTTGCAACCTTTCACAGATTTACTGAAGATTGATAGAACCTTAACTCAGAACAAAAAAGAAAATACCTTCATCTTAACGCCTGAGGCCAGAGAGACTTTCGAACAAGCGAAATCAACGATATCCCAAGTTACTATGCTACAGCATCTAAACACCGACCCCATAACGCATCTCATCCTCTGCACCGACGCCTCCCAGAAAGCAGTAGGAGCAGTATTACAGCAGTGCGTGAACAACAACATTACTCCTATAGCGTTCTTTTCCAAACGATCATCGCCAACACAAGAACGTCATAGCACTTTTGGACGCGAACTTCCGGCTATGTATTTGGCTGTAAAACATTTCAACTTCCTGCTACAGGGTCGTGATTTCACTATTATGACTGATAATAAACCCCTCTGCTACTCCTTAGCACTTCGTATGATAAGCATTCTCCACGAGAAGCCAGGCAACTGGATTATATTTCTCAATTTACTACAGACATCCAGTTTATCAAAGGCTCTTACACCATTGTCGCTGACGCTCTATCTAGAAAGGACATCAACATGATAGTACACAACCACAACATCAGTCTAGAAACTCTAGCTAAACTCCAAGTAGACGATGCAGAATTGAAATCCTGCAAACAGAGGTCTAGCTTGAATCTTAAACTTATACCCATGCCTTTCTCAGATACTTTCATCATGTGCGACACCTCAACAGTCGGCAATCGCCCTTTCGTCCCACACGCTTGCCGACGAGAAATATTCCGACACTTACACGGTCTTTCACACCCAGGAATCCGAGCCACAACTAAATTGATTACTGAACGTTTCGTGTGTCCAAAGATTAACTCAGATATAAAACGATGGACTCGAAACTGCCTACAATGTCAACGCAGCAAAATTCAAAAACACACAGTCAGTCCTGTTGGGAAGTTCCCTTTGCCGAAGAAACGTTTCCAACACATCGATCTAGATATAGTCGGTCCCTTGCCGCCATCAAAATCATTCACGCATATACTCACATCGGTGGACAGATTCACAAGATGGGCTATAGCGTGTCCCATCGCTGACACTTCTGCAGAGACAGTAGCCACTACATTCCTTGACCGATGGATATCAAACCATGGAGTACCATCTATCGTCACTACAGATCGTGGTCCCCAGTTCCAGTCTATCTTATTTTAGAAATTCACAAGACTTCTGGGTGTGAACCACATTAAAACGATGGCTAATGGTCTGGTCGAAAGATTCCACTGCCAATTGAAAAGCGCACTGATGGCACAAACTGATACAACAAAATGGAGTGACGCACGACCACTTGTACTCCTGGGAATTCGTTCAACCATCAAGGAGGATTTAGGATGCACTTCAGCTGAACTAGTTTACGGTACTACATTAACATTACCGGGTCAGTTGGTCGATCAAGAATCAATAATTTCAAATGATCCAAATGGTTTTGCAAGCCGACTATTACAAACAATGCAACGCATTAAAGCGATACCTCCGCGCGAACATAACAACCGCATACAGCTTGATAAATATCTAGAGACCTGAAAATTCGTTTTTGTTCGGGTCGACGCGGTGAGAAAGCCATTGAAACAACCGTACGAAGGACCTTACAAAGTAATTAAATGAACAAACAAACATTTCATCATCAATAAAAATGGAAGGAACGAGACAATTTCCATAGATCGAATAAAACCGGCTTTCTACGAAATTTTTCAAGACACGGAAGACAATACTACGAACAAATCACCACTCTCATCTATTGCTAAGAAACAAGAGGAAAAACAAAAACTTAATAGTACCCCCCCTTGTTTAACACGTTCTGGGAGGCTTGTGAAAAAACCAAAACGTTATGTACATCTCGCCGTATAAAAAAACTACAACCAATCAAAACAATCATCACGGACCCACACTATCAATCCTACCCAATGTTTTTTTCCTTTTTCACAGTGTACATAATTAATCACATTTTTTCCCCACAATTATTCGTTTCGTCACATTTTTTTATGTAAAAAAAATTTTTTGTTACAATAAAAAAACAACGAGTAATTACGTATTCAATGTACACAAAAATAAGCAGTTCATTTTTTTTTGTGTGTGTCCGTCATTAACAGTTTTACACATTATTATCATTGACAGTGTTTTCATTTTTTTTTCTCTGCTCGTTACGCTATGTTACATTACTACTACCCTCAAACGCTAACACAACGCATTTTACTAACGCATATATCATGTCCATCTCCACAATTTTGTTGTTTATAACTGTAAATATTATTTTTGTACATATGTATATATCATTTCCTTACATTTTTTTGTTATTACAACCAGTTTTACCTCCGAAAACTCTGGGGGGAGCTATGTGGAGATAGGTCTGTCAAACTTATTTTATAAATAATTTTTAATATTGTTTGTATTCATTTTGTCAATCTTTCACTGTGTGTACATTTATTATAAAATCATTGTACCTGTTGTTT